CCTCAGAAATTCCCACAACAGCCAAGGCTACATATTAACATGAAGCTGGATCAGAAAGAGAGTAGCAGGACTTGAACTGGCATCCCCATGTAGGATGTGGGCAGTTTTTGTTTTTGTTTTTAATTTTTTATATACAATGGCTGGAGTTGTTGATTGATCTGTTCTGTCCTCTGTTACAGTACCAGGTGTTCTCTGCAGGTTCTGATGGACTGCCATATCCTCCATGTGCACCTGGATATGCTGGCCAATGCTCCATCTGAGCCTCTGAGGAGGCTCAGCTATGACACTTGAACTCCACGGTCAGACCATGGAACCTGCACTTCTCTTCATGTTGGGGTTCTAAGTCCAGCAGTTCGATTGGGGAGATCCCCAAAGAAACTTTGTCTGAGGTGTTCCAAGACCAGATTTTTGTGTACAGAATGCTTGCCAATACAGGATCTGGCACAGTCTGTCACCCCAATCAGCTGGTGGTTACAATTGCCGGGTCAGTTCTGTTTCCAGCCCTGTCTTCCACACGAACCAATGGGTGTTACAGTCCATTCTGGTTCTGCCCACCACACACCTGGCCCTCACACAAGCCAATGGGAGCTGCAGTCTCGTCAGAGAGACCCCCAATAACCCCCACCAGCTCCACCCCCTGCCCTGGTTCCCGTGCTTGCCAGTATGTACAGCAGACTAGTCCAATCTGTTAGGATGTGGGCAGTTTTAATGTGCTGTACACAACACCTCAGCCACCCATGCTGCCTTGGAGATAGAGTACATATAAGGAACATTCAAAACAACAGCCAGATTGGCATTCACTTTAACAAAAAATCTGCAGTGAATTTTACTATCCCAACCACACATTTATTGAGAATTACTGTTATTTACCTTACAGCCAGGATGGATGTTCCCTAGTGGCTATGGCTGTTAGCCAAAATCCTAGTTGAAGTTAAAAACGAAGAACAAAGGAAAATTCCTTAAGGGTATTCACAAACAAGGAACTAGGTTTCTTAAGATTTATTTTATTTTTATTGCAAAGTCAGATATACAGAGGAGGAGAGACAGAGAGGAAGATCTTCTGTCCGATGATTCATTCCCCAAGTGAGTGCAACGGCCAGTGCTGTGCTAATCCAAAGCCAGGAGCCTCCAGTTCTTCCACACAGGTGCAGGAACCCAAGGCTTTGGGCCGTCCTCCACTGCTTTCCCAGGCCACGAGCAGGGAGCTGGATGGGAAGTGGGACTGCTGGGATTAGAACCGGCACCCATACGGGATCCTGGCACATTCAAGGCGTGGACTTTAGCCGCTCATCCATAGCGCCGGGCCCCGAGAACTAGGTTTTTAAATGGCCAGTAATTTTAAAGGAAATCCTTTTAGAATACACTTCATCTACATTAATTCAGTAGAATAATCTATATTTTTACTAAGATCAAAATATCTATCACTTAGTAATTTCAACAATTTTAATTGAGAAACTATTTTCATGCTATTAGGGTTGTGACATAGTAAGTTAAGCTTCTACCTGTGATGCAGGCATCCCATATAAACATCAGTTCAAAACCCTGCTTTTCCGCTTCCATTCCAGCTTCCTGCTGATACTCCTGGGAAAGCAGTGGAAGACTCCAGGTGATATTAGAGACCTGGATGAAGCTCTTGGCTCCTGGCCTGATTCCTGGTGTTGTGACCATTTAGGGAATGAACCGTGGATGAAAGATCAGTCTTTCTTGCTCTCTCCCCCTGCTTCTTTTTCTGAAACTCTGCCATTGAATGAAGGAGACTGTTTTTGGAGAGCTGATCTCTACACCTTAGCAGTAGGCTGAATCAGAAATAGAGGTACCACTGTGATATGGGATGTGAATGTCCCAGCCAGCAATGTAAGTGCTGTGTCAAATTCTGGCACCTAGTTTTTATTTATTTATTTGAAAGACAAAGGCAGAGAGAGAGAGAGACACACTTCCATCCAATGGTTCACTTCCTAAATACCTTCAGTGCTGGGGCTGAGCCAGGTAGAAGCTAGTACTCAGAAGCTCAGTCCTGGCCTATCGTATGGGTGGCAGGGAGCCCCTTACTTGCGCCATCCTTACCCACTGCCTCACAGAGCACACATCAGCAGGAGCACGAATGAGAAGTCCAAGCTGTGACTGAACCCAGGCGCTCTGCCACAGGAGGCAGGCGTCTCAAGCAGCAACTTAGCCACTGTGCCTAGTGCGCCCACTGCGAGAGAATTCTTGAAGTATGAACTCTTTTTTTAAAAAGATTTATTTTTATTATGTTTTATTGGAAAGGCGGATATACAGAGAGGAGAGACAGAGAGGAAGATCTTCCGTCTGATGATTCACTCCCCAAATGAGCACAACGGCCGATGCTATGCCGATCCGAAGCCAGGAACCAGAAACCTCCTCCAGGTCTCCCACACGGGTGCAGAGTCTCAAGGCTTTGGGCCATCCTCAACTGCTTTCCCAGGCCACAGGCAGGGAGCTGGAAGGGAAGCGGGGCTGCCGGGATAGAACCGGTGCCCATATGGGATCCCGGGCGTGCAAGGCGAGGACCTTAACCACTTGCGCCACCGCGCCATGCCCATCTTATTTTTCTTTTTACAATTTTGCAAGTATGAAGTTTCCTCCCTTCCCTATCCCTCCCTCCCTCTCTCCTGCCCATTGTCCCCTGTGGTCCACAGTAATAGAATCCTTCAGTTACAGTCTTGACTCCAGCATTCTGCTCTTTATGTGGGTCATGACATTGTTGGTATAAGCAATGATAGAGTCTAGAATATACCTCTTTTTTAATAAAAGTGTTATGAAATTCATAACAGTTCAAATTCATTTTGAAAACATATAAGCCTGTTTATCTACAAGTGTTCATTTGGCCTTCAAATGGTACTTTCTCATTAGACACTGAATTCTACTTGGATACCTGTTAACTCCAGACCTTTGCAGTGATTTGTTTAACTTACAAATATACCACTGGTTAATAGACCATTATCTCATCCCTCTTTTACCCCTGGAAATCTGTAAGTTAAAAAAAAAAAGTTGATCAACAGTGGAGAAAAGTTTTTGGTGGGCCCAAATACCTCCAATGACTGAGACTAGGCTGGTCAGAGCTGGGGGCTGGAAACCTGGTCAGGGCCTTCCGTGTGATGGCAGAGACCCTCTCCATTTATCTCCAAGGCCAGCATGCATCAACAGAAAGCTGGAAAGGGCAGCGGGGGCTGGGACTCAGAGTCAGGCACTCCAGTGTGGGATCCAGAGCAGCCAAATGACCACCCCAGATCTTGATGCTTTTAATTGAATATTTCCTCAACACTTCAGTCCTGCATGTCCTACCTCATAAGCTGGATTTAGGGGCCAGCATTGTGGCAAAGCAGGTTAAGGCTTGGCCTGTGATTCTGGCATCCCATTTGAGATCTGGCTGTTCCACTTTCAACCCAGCTCACTACTAATGTGCCTGGGAAAACAGCAAATGATGACCCCAGTGCTTGGGCCTCTATACCTAGGTAGGAGAGCTGGAAGAAGCTCCTGACTCCTAGCTTTAACCAGTCCCAGCCCCCATTTCAGCCTTTTGGGAGTGGTCAGCAAATAAGAGATATCTCTCTCCCCCCCCCTCCTCTATCTGTAACACTGCCTTTAAGATAAGTTAAAAAAAATAAATAAATAAAAGCTGATTGTGAATTTGGAGAGTAGCTACTTTCAGCTAATATCAAGAAGCTGATCTAGTTCTGTGTTGCTTTCCTGACTCGGGTAGGAGTTAGGCTATGGCCGACTCTAATGTATTTGGTGTACTGTCAAGAAGAGCTATGGAAGGGCTAAAAGTGCAGGGTTTGGCAGAAAGTACGCATCCAATGAAGGAAGTAAAAAGAGGGGACTGAGCAGACACTGAACAGGAACACAAAGAATGGTATTTCAGAGCCTTCCCAGCAAAGGCGCCATGGCTTAGGCAGCATCTGAGCTATTGCTGTGTTGCAGGCTTGCTTTAATGAAAGAACATGGCCAACAGCCTCAATGGGACTTAGAAGGGAATTATTCTTTTGAATTACTGTAGTTTATCTGGTCCCTTCACCTCCTCTTTAAGGGATGGGAGCATAAGTTATTGTCCAGTAGCTCCGTCTGATTTAGTCATAAACTAAGATAAACTGAGCCTCACCTCTTCATTTTCTTTTCACCCAAACCTCTAAACAAATAAAATCATGACACCATCTCCTTTTCTCTTCCCTCATCCTGCCCACAGGCTCCTCCCTACTCTTAAAACATGTTTTTTCTTTTGCTTGCATTTTTATTCTACCATTATACAGCCAGCAGCATTGTACTGGCCCCTTTATGGCTGATGGGGCCCAGGCGGGCTGCCCGATGAGAGGAGACAGCATTTGGCCGATGGGGCTGGTGTGTGCCATTATTGCTGGCCATCGGGCCTCAATCCTCTACAGCTCCGTCCTGGCTCATTAAAACCCGGAGCCAAATAGCCGCGCAGGCGCCTGCTGCAGCTCTGTGGGGGCCAGGAAGTTAAATGGTTCTCCTAATCCTGCATAATTTATCTCCCTGTTAGCCCCCTCATAAAATAGTCCAATTCAGCCCCACCATGGAGAGCTTCGTTCTGAATTTCCTATTTTTATGATGACCAATGAGTATCCAGCCTTTCCCTTTTTCTCTTTATTATTATTATTAAAAATTGTTTTTCCTATGTTCACTGCGAGTTTGATTTTTTTTTTAATTTTTTTTTCATTTGGAGCCTCCTGCCTGGATACCACTTCACCAGCAATCTGTCCACTCCTCTTGTTTGGACCTGATGTTACAGAGCATTTGGCACCCTGTCTTCCCCTTCGCCTCTCTTCCCTGCCTTCTAGCACCTTCTTCCCCCATCCTTTTCCCTTTTCTCCAACTTCCAATTTTTTTTTTTCTCCTTTTCCTTCCATCTCTAGTCCCTCTTGCAAGGAACAACCTCATTGCAGAATGTTCATGGAACATTTTAAAAGGCCACTGAATCGAGAACTTTTTTTTTTCACATCTCCATTTCTGTTTCGTTTCAGAGATTTACAAACGAGGACCACCTGGCAGTTCATAAACACAAGCATGAGATGACATTGAAATTTGGCCCAGCCCGAACTGACTCAGTCATCATTGCAGGTACTCGCTGCCCCACAAGCCACGTGCCTTGATCTCACCAGTTAAGATGAATACCAGGGACCAGATGTACTGAGGGCTGTACTCCCCTTCTCTCATTAAGAGCCCTTATGTGATCTGCATTTAATCAGGAAAAAACTCCCAAGCTCTATTGTGCTTTCTTCTGTGTTCAATAACAAGATTGGGTCCTGTGGTTTTTGAGTGTTGGTGTGTTGGAGTTTTGTTGTAGCTTGTTTCAGTCTATTGCCCCTCTGCTTTCTCCTTACGGAGACTTTGAAAGATTTACAGACAAAAGACGCCTCTGACATTTCTCCCTCCCTGCAGTGAAAGGTGAACAAAAAGCTCGGCTGCTTCTCTGCCACCGGGTGTCAGTTTTCCTCCAGCAGGCCAACTGTCAGTTCGTAAATTCAGCTTCCCTTGTGAACCCAGACACCATTGAAGGCGCATTTCTAAAGCTCAAACAAGACATTGAGTCAGCCAGACTTTTCTCAGCCAATTTCGATGGCCTGGCCACTCTCCACAGTTGTTTCAGGTATAGCCTCACTGGCGTGTGCTGTCCTCCAGGGAGCACTCTCAATAGCAGCTCTCACTTCATGGAGCAGCTCTGTTGTGTCGTTTCAGCTACACAGACATACAAACCACAGTGGGCCTTTCTGTTTCATGCTCTGACAATTTCTGATTCAGTCCAAGTTAAGCAACTGTAACTCAGGGATTTACTCAAGAAGGTGTTCAGGTGGTGGTTGTCACATCAGTTAGAATTCAGGCTTGCGACAATCTCTTTGAGTACATCCTACTAGTCCAAATGCTACTCCAGACATGGAGAAGGAAAGCCAGAACCTTCTCTCCATACTACTGCAGGAGTGCAAGGGACCTGAGTGGACCTTCCAGGTCTATTCCATATTTTGAAAATATTGATTAAATATCTACTGTGTGAATCAAATGCTTTTGTCTGCTAGGAGCATGTAGATTTATAATCCTGGAGAAATGACTTAAAGAAGGGCCATTTTGACCAGCTATCCTTGAAAAAGGTGTAAGAGGTCTTGGAGAAGAATGGAAGAGTCTAAGTAAAGATACTTAATTATGTTAGGGAAAAAAGGAACATCATCTGTGTATACAGGTGATTACAAGTGCATGATGAAACAAGATGAATCCTAAGAGAATTAGTGTTAAGTAGAATTGATATAAAACGTTTGTAGAAGAGGTACATTTTGGACAAGGTTATCAAATTGGAGAGGTTATTTCGTATGTGCAGGAGGATTGATGCCAAATTTTCCAGGATGGTGAGGGATATTGCCACAGGACAGTCTCAAGGAGAAAAAAAAAATATCCTCATGTTCTGCACTCAGGTTTGGAGTGACCGTCCCATTGGCAGATGACTTCAGCTGTCCTCTCTGGGTTGCCAATTCTCCCATCTTCTCCTAGATTGATCACTTTTACTTACCCTTCGCTCTGATCTTCCCTGTCAGCAGCTGAATTTAACCCCTGACTCCTCTAAACTAGCTCCCTCTCCCTTGTAGTCGCTGATACTGGTATCTTCAAAATCTGGAGTAGTTTTCTTCTTTCCTCAGATTCTTTCTGTCCTATTCCCTCCTTTGCTTCCTATCACTGCCCTCTTTATATTTGGATTCCTGCAAAGTCTTCTAGCTGGTCTCCTTAACTAGTCTTTCTTTCTAATCCTTCTTGCATACTATTAAAAAGTTAGTCTTCCAGGCTAGCTCTGTGATTGCAGTAAGCCAAGCCTCCACCTGCAATGCCAGAAACCCATATGAGTGTCATTTCAATCCTGGCTGCCCCACTTCCAATCTACCTCCCTGCTAATGTCGCTGGAGAATCAGCAGAAGATGACCCAAGTCCTTGGGTTCCTGCACACACGTGGGAGACCCAGAAGCTTCTGGCTTTGGACCTGCCAATGACCTCTGGCCATTGGGGCCATTTGGGAAATGAACCAGCAGATGAAAAATCTCTCTTCTTTCTCTGTGACTTCACCTTTCAAATCAAAAGAAATATTTTTTAATTAATTGAGCTGAATTAGGTTAAATTAAATTAATAGACAGTGAGGAGGAAAGCTACCATGGATACCAGAATGAACCATGGAAAGTTAAGGAGGGAAAAAAGTTAGTCTTCCTTAAATTCATCTCTTCTAATCAAAGTCTGTCCCTGTTTTCTCTTACTTTACGGCTATTTGTACCTTAATTTTCAGGCCTTCCTCAGTGCCGGGTGCCCATCCAACTTTATGTACAGCTTGCATGTGGAAATGATTCTTTTGCTCTCCACATATATTTTCTCCTTCATCCATACAGGATTTCTAAAACCTTTCTAAAAACCTTTCCCTATACCTTCTACTGTATTACTCTTTTTAGTTTTCATACATTTCTCTCTACCTCTTGAAGTAGGAGTAGACACCCCTTTGTTCTACCAAGGGCTTTTTGGATATTTATAATATCATTCACAAGCCATACAAAATTACCAACTTAAAAATTAGCCTGCCAGGGGCCAGTGTTGTGGTACAGTGGGCTGAGCCACCATCTTATCAGTATCCTACATGGGTTCTGGTTTGAGTCCCAGCTGCTCTACTTCTGATCCAGCTCCCTGCTGATATGCTTGGGAAAGCCATGGAAAATGGCCCAAGTTCTTGGTTTCCCCATAGGAGCTCTGGAAGTTCTTTACTCCTGGCTTCAGCCTGGCCAGCCCTAGTCATTACAACCATTTGGGAAGTGAACAAGCAAATAGAAGATCTCTCTTTTTTCCCCTTCCTCTTTTGCTATAATTCTGGCTTTCAAATGAAACAAATCTTTTTTTTAAAGTTAGCCTGCTGTAGATTTATTGAATTTGAGTCCTGCCTGCAGTTACCTTGGCAGGGCCAAACTAAGTGATTTCATGGGCCTTATATGGCTGTGGCCCAGACATCCCCCACCCATGATCTAAAGCCGTTCTGCAAAGCATAGTTCATGGTTTTACTTCTTCAAGTTTTTCCTAACTATTGTGTCATTCATGTGTCTTTATTTAATGTCTGCAACAAGGTTATTCTCTATAATACATGGCACTTAGTTTCGTATACTGTGATACAGTCTATGTGTGTTACTTTGGTTTCCTCAACTAGGGAACATTCTCATAAATTTCCAGGGCATGTCTGGTGTTTGGCTAGTACTCCTATCTCTCCCCTAAGTACGCACACATGTGTGCAGCACCATATTCGGTGAACACTTACGTCCTCTCTTACGGAACATCAGAGCAGGCTCGGGATTGAGGCCGTTGGTTCAGAAACCAAAGCCAATTGAAAGTTTGAGGCCACCAGGAAGGTGAGGCGTTCGATTTAGTACGATTTTAGGGAGCCATTACAATATTAGAACCTAAAACGAACATGAACACCATGGTATGAAACAAGTTTGTATGGGCCTCAAATCAGAAGTCCAAAAGTTCCTCTTTTGCCCTGGCCATGCCCTCAGCTGCATCTTCCTGGTACACTTGAGCTGTGAGTTTGTGTGTGCCCTTGCTGAAGTACTCTCTGAACATACAGGATATTACCTCTGCTCACCCCGAGATGGAGGGAGAGTGACTTTATCGTTAGCCAACCAAAGCTGCCAGAAAACCTTTTAAAGCTATTTTGGGAGGTAGTGGTAACTTTTCTAAATATCTCAATTCAGAAGAGGTTTTTATTTAAATTAAAGAGAGAGAAAGAGAAATGCTGTTTCCATGGAAAATTCCTACTGAACTATTTCCAATTGATCATGCTAAAAGGAGAGATTTTCACCCAAGATTTCACTCCTTAAATGTAACAAGTATAATGTCAATATTATTCTGTCTCTGTCATTCAGTTTCATAATGTGGAGTATGAAATGAATCCCTGAAGTTACCAGTATGTCAGAAAAATATCAGAATAGGATCAGGGAACAAGATTCAATGTCAGAAACGCAGGATGGGGAGAGAGAAGTTGAGATCTAAAATTTAACCTGCTTGTAAAGTTCTCAGGGATACCAACAGCCCCTCTCTTCCCAGTGGCAGGAGCTCTGGCCTGGGGAAAGATTTATATAGCCCTTGTGGGGATATGTTGGTTGGCAAATCTAAATCCAAATATCCTGGTTTCCGGAATTTACTCTCGGCACGGGTCTGCGCAAACCAAGCTCTATTGTTTGCAGTTTCCTTTCCTAGATGTTGTTATCCTGTTTCCCATCCCTTGGATCTGCCTGGGATGCCTCCAGAAGAGGACAGATCCTTAGCAGGCAAACTCAGCCACCTGATCTTCAGGGCCTTCTCTTTAGCAGGTCCTTAACAGTCGTCTGCCTACGCCTGTTCACTTCAGATGCAGCAGAAAATCAACTTGGAAAGAAATGATTGCTTAACTGTATTTGACTTTCAGATCTGGAGGCTTTGCACCTCACCGCCATGGTTTGGTTTGATTTGATTTGGTTTGGGGTGGGGAAGAAGGTGAAGCAAGCAGTGAGAGCAAGGTGTTTACATGGACAGTCAAGCAAAACCTTGTCCTGTCTTCCCCCTGCTGGCCTTGAGGCGGCACAACACAGACCCCCTCTGGTGGCCCAGCACCAGCCTTCACCTGCCTGAGCTTTGTGAAACCAAATTTGTGCTAACACACAGATTCTGTCTCCAAATGGAACAAATAATGCTTTCTCTTTATGCTTGTAAGTTTTAATTTCAGATTAAAACTAAAAACCATTTCCTTTCCCTGTCATCTCTACAGATCAAACTCCTACTCCGACTAGATTCCTGAAGAACTGTGAGGAAGTGGGACTCTTCAATGAACTAGCTAGCTCCTTTGAACATGAATTCAAGAAAGCTGCAGATGAGGATGAGAAAAAGGCAAGATATGGGATTTTTGCAAAACCAAAACCAAAACTAAAAGCAATGGTGTTCAGACGAATACTGTTTTCATTGTTCTTTAGTGTAATCTATTGATAAAAGCATGAAATCATGGCCCTTCAGCTCTTTACTGGGCCATTCAGAAAATCTACACAAATCAGTCTTCACCAAAAATTAATCCTTTAATGTTTGTTTTTAGTGAGCATTGGTAATGTTTTTTTTAAAGATTTAATTATTTTTGTTGGAAAAAAAGCGAAAGATTTATACGATCTGAAGAAAACCAGAGTTATTTATTTTTATTGGAAAGGCAGATAGACAGAGAGGAAGACCGAGAGGAAGATCTTTCATCCAATGACTCACTTCCCAAGTGGACGCAATGGCTAGAGCTGAGCCAATCCAAAGCCAGGAGCAAGGAACTTCCTCTAGGTCTCCCACACGGGTGCAGGGTCCCAAGGCTTTGGGCCATCCTCGACTGCTTTCCCAGGCCACAGTAGGATGCTGGATGGGAAACAGGGTCACCGGGATTAGAACTGGAGCCCATGTCGGATCCCAGCATGTTCAAGGCAAAGACCCTAGCCACTAGGCCATTGTGCTGGGCCCCCAACTCCACTTTTGATTTTAGTTTCCTGCTGATTGGCACCCCCAGGAAGTAGCAGATGGTAGAAAAAGTACTTGGGTCTCTGCCATCCATTTGGAAGACCCAGGTTCAGCCCAGCCAGGCCCAGTTCCAGCTCTTATAGGCCCTTTCTCACAATTAAGTAAATATAAAATACTTTAAATTGTTTCTGAGGCAGGGACCTTGTCGCAGAGAGTTAAGCCACCTCTTGATTCGCCCACAACCCATGTTGGAGACTAGTTTGAGTCCTGCCTACCCTGCTTTCCAGCCAGCTTCCTGCTGATGCATCCTGGAGGGCAGAAGATAATAACTCAAGCACTTGAGTTCCTGCTGTATGTGTGGGAGACCTTGATGTAATTCCAGGCTCCTGGCTTTGGGTCGGGCCAGTCCTGGCTTTTGCAGACATTTGGAAAGTAAAACAAAAGGTGGAAAATCTCTGTTTTGTTTGTTTTCTTTCTCTCTTTCCGTCTCTGTTGCTGTGCCTTGTAAGTAAGATTTAAATATATGTAATTTTAACATATCTATTAAAATGATTTTTGTTATGAATACATTGGTGTTAAATATTATACATTGTTCAGATTTTATTACATTAGCGTATTTCTACCAAATTCCCAGAGTCTTGTCTTTCTCAGTCCCTAGTCAAGAAATATTTGTTAAGCTTCTGCTGTTTCAGTATACGTGGTTATTGCCATTACACGGCTTGCAAGTTCTGTGTGAGGCATTAAAGTCAAAGGAGGATATTCCTAATGTCTTTCCCAGGAGATCAGCCAGGATCCTGAAGGAGCTAGGAATCTTGTCACATCAGGAATCTGCAAGAAAATTCAGACAATTTTTCTTGGAAGAGAGATTTATGTGAACAAATCTGCATTCTTCAAATATTTGAGGGGCTTTCACATAAAGAAGGGACCAGATTTACCCTGTGTGGTCCAAAGGTAGAAGTAAGACCGCTGGGTGGAAGCTATTACAGTGTGTGCAGTTATATGTAGGCCACTTAGTGGAGGAATGCTGTGGAGAAAAAGAAAATGTTGGAATACCTTATAATCCTGATGTGCTGTGGTTTTTAGTTTTAGCATTTTTAATATTCCAGTTCCCTAGAGAATCCATTAGTTTCAAAACCAGAGGAAATAGCTGAAAAAAGCAGAGTTGAAATGTGATCATTCCAAGGACTAAGAGATTGAGGGTGAGGGGTGAGAGTCAAGGTTTACTTTAGATTTAGAATTATATATTACTAGTCACTATTTAAGATCAAACCTGTGTTGTTGGTTTTTTTTTAAGATTTATTTATTTATTGGAAAGTCAGCTATACAGAGAGGAGGAGAGACAGAGAGGAAGATCTTCCCTCCAATGATTCACTCCCCAAGTGAGTACAACGGCCGATGCTATGCCGATCCGAATCCAGGAGCCAGGAACTTCTTCCAGGTATCCCACACGGGTGCAGGGTCCCAAAGCTTTGGGCCTTCCTCGACTGCTTTCCCAGGCCACAAGCAGGGAGCTGGATGGGAAGTGGAGCTGCCGGGATTAGAACCGGCAACCATATGGGATCCCAGCACATTCAAGGTGAGGACTTTAGCTGCTAGGCCACGCCGCCAGGCCCCAAACCTGTGTTTTATAATATTTAACAAAACTCCAGTATCTTTATCCAAAGCATATATATTTTTTTTCAATATTTATGATTTTTATTGGAGAGGCTGATTTACAGAGAGAAGGAGAGACAGGGAAAAATCTACTGTGTGCTGGTTTATTCCCCAAATGATAGCATCGGCTGGAGCTGAGCCATTCCAAAGCCAGAAGCCTCCTCTGGGTCTCCCATGCCGGTGCCGGGACTGAAGGCTTTGGGTCATCCTCTGCTGCTTTCCAGGCCATAAGTAGGAAGCTGAATGGGAAGTAGAGTATCTAGGACATGTATTGTTGCCCATAAGGGCATCATGCTGGCCCCTCAAAACATATACATATAGGGGCCTAGTGAGGTGGCCTAGTGGCTAAAGTCCTCTCCTTGAACGCACCGGGTTCCCATATGGGTGCCAGTTCAAATCCTAGCAGTCCTTCCCATCCCGCTCCCTGCTTATGACCTGGGAAAGCAGTGGAGGATGGCCCAAAGCCTTGGGACCCTGCACCTGCATGGGAGACCTGGAGGAAGTTCCTGGCTCCTGGCTTCGCATCAGCATAGCATCAGCCATTGCACTCAGTTGAGAAGTGAATCATTGGAGGGAAGAGCTTCCTCTCTGTCTCTCCTCCTCTCTGTATAGCTGACTTTACAACAAAAATAAATAGATCTTTAAAAATATATATAAACATGTATACCCCACAATTATATGATATAATAGGTACAGAGTCATCAAAATATAGAAAATCCTGGACTTAAGATAAGTATTCATAAGAGTGTTTTTCTTCTAAGTGGAAGGTATCTGATGAATCAGGAGAGTAAAGCATGATTTTAAATCCAGATTTAATTGTAAGATGGTGAAATATAGAATAATTGTACCAGTCAAATTCTTTCCAACTTCCTTAACTTTCTCTGCGCTTGGCTTTTGTTGTTTTACTTTGTTTTAAACATCTATTTGTTTATTTGAAAGTTAGAATTACAGAGTGAGAGAAACACCTAGAGAGAGCCTTCATCTGCTGGTTCATTCTGGATGACCGCAATGCTCAGAGTTGAGCCAAGCTGAGGCCAGGAGCCAGGCATTCTTCCAGGTCTCCCACGTGGGAGGCAGAGGCCCAGAAATCTTGACCATCTTCTGCTGCTTTTCCCAAGAGCATCAACAAGGAACTGTAGGGGAAGTGGAGCACCCAGGACTCAAACTGGCACCATGTGGGCAACTTGCTATGCCCAACACTGGCCCCAGGTCTACTTTCAAATGGTAGAACAAAGCAATCGTCGTATAATGACAGTCTTATTCCTTTAACAGCCCAATTCTCTTATCTCTTCGTTGCCTGAACTTACACAGTTGTGTTTTACAGCTCCCCTGCCTCACTTCCCCTGCCATCTTCGGTCCACCAGAATGTGAGAACTTTGATCCAAAGTTATTTGCAAATTCAAGAAAAGTAGCCTGCATTCAACAGCTCTAAGTCTTTGCCTCTGCCATTTTGGCTCAGTTGACACTGGTGGAGCAGTCCCTAGCTGGTCAGGCCTTCTCTTGTCCAGCATGCGATGGTGTTTCTTCATTGCGTTCACAGGGGCCGTGTTTCCCCTCTCCTCTTGGTGAGAAGCCCAGACTCCAGGAAAATTGAACGAGCCAGGAACTCTCCTGAACCACAGCTTTTCTAGTAGATGCTCCCAGAGGACTTTAAACTCTTGGCTGTATTTTGTTAGAAGTCCCTTCTTCCCACCAGTCTCTGGACTTGAGAGATTCCAGAATTAGCCAGACATGGCCAATACCTGTCAGCGCCGGGGGGGGGGGGGGGGGGGGGGAAATGTGCCTGGGCCCAGCACGGTAGCCTAGTGGCTAATGTCCTCACCTTACATGCGCCGGGATCCTGTATGGGTGCCAGGTCAAGTCCTGGAAGCCCCGCTTTCCATCCAGCTCCCTGCTTGTGGTCTGGGAAAGCAGTCACGGATGGCCCAAAGCCTTGGGACCCTGCACCCACGTGGAAAAGCTGGAAGAGGCTCTGGGTTCCTGGCTTTAGGTCAGCTCAGCTCCAGCTGTTGCAGCCACTTGGGGAGTGAATCAGTGGACAGAAGATCTTCTTCTCTGTTTCTCCTACTCTTTGTATATCTGTCTTTCCAATACAAATAAATAAATCTTTTTTTTTTTTTTAATGTAGCCAAAATGAGGTTGCTGTTGTGCAATCTCACTGGACTGGGGAGAAAGCACCAGGACTGCCCTTCTCTCATGTAGGACAAATGCCAGAGTATCTACAGTTTACTCAGCTACCAGGAAGATTTCTTGGGATTAAGGCAGCAAGGAAAGAGTTAGAAAGAAGATCCTCTTTCCCCCAGGAGCCCAAGATACAGGAAGAATAGAACAAAGGCTCTATTTTGTCATGATGCTGGGCTGCCAGGCCATCTCTCCCTTCCTGGGATGCCGGTGACTCAGGATGCTGTATTGTCCCTTTGTGAAGCCATGTCCAGCCCCATAGAGCTGCGAGGAGATTGCGCCACTGCCAGAAAAGTCCCCTCCTTATCTTCTGCCTTTCTCCTCCTAAGTCCAACTTCTCACTTCTGCCACTTTTACTGGTTTGTTGATCAGCTTTTCCTTTCTCTGTTATCCCAAAAACCCCACCTGCCTGAAACTTCTGAAGCCTTCAACCTCAGATTTTGGGGTGAGATTACCTTCAAGTATGGCAAATTGCCCAGAAAAGACCTTTCTTATCTTGTTTGCAGTACTGTAGTAGCCAATTTGTCTGTTTGCTTCTGATAGTTGAGTAATCCAGGCCTTCTGTTTGGCCAGCACTCTCCAGGGGCCAGCAGAGCCGGTTGAAAAGAGGCAGGCACTCGATTCAGGAGTCATTATACTTTCCTGAAGTAATTATAATCATAACATTTGCATGGATAAAAGGGATCCCTTCCCTCCACCCACACTCCAGGTCTGTATGAGTATTTACTTACCAGTGGTGAAGTAGTTCTTGCTTCGTTCTATACTTAGGGAAACAGAAGCCCTGAGAAGGGAACATGATTTGGCCAGAGTTGTATAAGAGCTTGAGCCCCACAGTGCTGTGTTTTGCAGTTCAGTGCTGTGACCAGCAACTGAACTTCTTAGAAGCATATGCGCATATCTGGTGACAAGAAAGCAATTAATTCAACCCACAGAAAACCAAGCACCTGAATTCTATGCATTTGTCTTTTGCAACAGGCTGCTGCCGGACCCCTTGACATGTCTCTGCCTTCCACACCAGATGTGAAAATCAAAGAGGAGGAGCCAGTGGAGGTGGACTCATCCCCACCTGACAGCCCTGCTTCCAGCCCCTGTTCCCCACCACAAAAGGAGAAGGTAAAATTCTCTACCAGGAGTCACCCCAAATGTTACTAGGTCAGATTTTGATTCACTGGCTACATAAATAGTGTGTGATATAGGAGGATTGATTATATTTAGAGGAATGTTACTGGTTAAATTTATTTAAGTTACACCTATTGTCTCATTCAAAAATTCCACCTCTAAGCCACCAGCTTTATGGAGGAGAAATTAGTTGCACATATCTATCCAAAAGAAGTATCAAAGGGATGGGGCCCCATGCAGTAGCCTAACAGCCAAAATCCTTACCTTGCATGCACTGGGATCCCATGAGTGCCAGTTCTAGTCCCATCAGCCCTGCTTCCCAGCTCTCTGCCTGTGGACTGGAAAAGCAGTGGAGAACAGGCCAAAACCTTGGGACCCTACACCCACATGAGAGACCCGGAGGAGGCTCTGGGCTCCTGACTTTAGGTTGGCTCAGTTCTGGTCATTGCAGCCACTTGGGGCGTGAATCAAAGAGAGAGAGAGAGAGAGATGGACATTGTGGGTGCTACAAGTTAAACCACTGCTTGGAAAGCCCACATGTCCTATCCAAATGTGGGTTCAAGTCCCAGCTCCTCTGCTTCTGATCAGCCTTCCTGTAAAGTATCTAGGAAGGCAGCAGATAATGGCCCAAGCACTTGAACCCCTGCCACTCACACGGGAGACCTAACTCCTAGCTTTAGCCTGTCGTGGCCATTTGGAAAGTGAACCAGCAAATGGAGATCTCTCTCTCTCTCTCCTTCTCACACTGCCTTTCATATAAAGAAATTTTTAAAAAATAGTTTTTTTTCTCAGTACATAAGGATGTTCTTGGCAGTTGTATTCATAACAACAATAAATGCCTGGAGTTATTCCAAATGTTCATCAGTTAAAAGGTGAGTAAATAAATTGTGGTGTATTTCTAAAATGAAGTACTATGTGATATTAGGGTGAACTGTGATTATTCAAAAATGTAGGCGAATCTCACTAGCCTTATATGAAACAACAAAAGCCAGATGTGAGCAGGAGTTTGATGCAGCAGTTCAGTTGCCACTTGGAATACCCACATGTCTTGTTGCAGGCCCTGATTTCCAGTTCTGGCACTGTTTCCAGTCCAGCCTCCTGCTTGTCCACACCCTGGGAAACAGCAGGTCCCTAGTACTGGGGTGCCTACCAGCCTCATGACAGACCTGTAATGAGTTGCACACTCCTAGCTTTGACCTGGCCCAGACCTGGATTTCACAGTCTTTTGGGAAAGTAGATCAATGGATGGAGGATATCTCTTGTTCTGCCTTTCAAAAAAAAAAAGCATAGCATAAAAGTATATGCTGTATGATTCCACTTATCTGAGGTTCAAAAAGAGGCAAAACTATCTGATGATAAAACTCAGAACATGACAGAATTTGAAATGTAATCCAGCAACAAGGTGGAAGAATGCACCATGGGGAGAGGGTACGGGGAAGGGTTGGGGGAGTCCCAGAGCCTATGAAACTGTGTCACATAATGCAATGTAATTAATAATTTAAATAAATAAATAAAACACATGGTTTAAAAAAAAAACTCAGAACAGTGTTTGCCTTGTATAAGGGAAAGATAAGCATTAGGACAGGATACGGAAGAACCTTCTCAGATGCTGAATTGGCCCAAATCTTATTTTTTAAGATCTTTTTTCTATTGGAAAGTCAGACATACAGAGATAAGGAGAGACAGAGAGGAAGATCTTCTGTCCACTGATTCACTCCCCAAGTGGCCACAATGGCCAGAGCTGAGCCAATCCAAAGCCAGAAGCCAGGAGCTTTTTCCGAGTCTCCCACATGGGTGCAGGGTCCCAAGGCCTTGGGTTGTCCTCCATTGCTTTCCTGGACCGCAAACAGACAGCTGGATGGGAAGCGGGGCCACCAGGACACAAACTGGCACCCACATGGGAACCTGACGAATGCAAGGTGAGGACTTTAGCCACTAGGCTACCACACTGGGCCCTCTAAATACTAATTTTCTTAAAACATTTATTCATTTTACTTGAAAGAGTTAGAGAGAACAAAGAGAGAGAGAGACAGAGAGAGAGAAATCTTCTATCCAATGGTTCACTCCCCAAATCACAGCAACATCCAGTGCTGGGCTATTTGAAACCAGGAACCAGGAGCTTCTTCGGAGTTTCCCACATGGGTGAAGAATCCAGGCACTTGAGCTTTCCTCTGCTGCTTTCCCAGGCCATTTGCAGGGAACTGGATCAGGAGTGAAATAGTCAGGTCTAGAACCAGTGCCCACAAGGGATGCCAGTGCCTCAGGCAGAGGATTTGCTTGCTATGCCACCATGCCAGCCCCTGAATCCTAATTTTACATATATAAATACTCATTCTGTGATAATGGCTTTTGATTAATACATTTTTATGCTTTGATAGGTGAAAAAAAATACACAATTCAGAAATTTGACAATAAATAGTTTAGGGGAAAAAAAGTCTTCTGTGAGGGAAACATCTCAAAGGGAATATTTACTAAGAGCCTGGTCTTTGTTTGTGTGTTTGTTTGTTAATATTTAAGATGTATTTGTGGCCTGGAGTGGTGGCCTAGTGGCTAAAGTCCTCACCTTGCATGCACCAGGATCCCATATGGGCACCAGTTCTAATCCTGGCAGTCCTTCTTCCCATCCAGCTCCCTGCTTGTGGCCTGGGAAAGCAGTCGAGGAAGGCCCAAAGCTTTGGGACCCTGCACCCGTGTGGGAGACCTGGAGGAAGTTTCTGGCTCCTGGCTTCGGATCGGCGCAGCTCTGGCTGTTGTGTCCACTTGGGGAGTGAATCATTGGAGGGAAGATCTTCCTCTCTGTCTCTCCTCCTCTCTGTATATCTGACTTTCCAATACAAATAAAATAATAATAATAATAATAAAGATGTATTTGAAAGGTAGTGAGGCAGAGAGAGAGAGACTAATTTCCCATCTACCATTGCATTTGTCAGATAACCAAAACTGAGTCAGGTTGATTCAGGAGTCAGAAACTTCATCCAGAATAGTATGCTAGCATTGGAAGTGACAGCTTAACCTACTGTGTGGCAACACCAGCCCCCTGTCTGTTTTTTGTTTTTAATGTTCATTTTACTTATTGGAAAGACAGAGTTGAGTTGCAGAAAGGGAGAATCAGAGGCAGAAAAGAAAGATCTTCCATCTACTGTTCACTCCTCAAATGGCTGCAACAGTTAGGGATGGGCCAAGCTGAAGTCTGGAACCTGTAAGTTCTTCCAGGACTCCTCAGTGGGTATAGGGCCCAAGCGCTTGGGCCGTCCTCTGTTGCTTTCCCAAGTGCATTAACAGGGAGCTGTATAGAACAACAAATGACACCCTACGGGATGCTGGCCCTGCAGGCAGTGGCTTTATCTCCTGTGGCACAGTGCTGACCAGCAGATACAGCATCTGTACCTCATCTCTCTTCCAGTTTGACTTTGGCTTCACGTAATTACCTTCTCCATGAACATTACAAGCATATCACCCATCTTTCATCCACGGCCAAGCCTAAATGCTGTAGATGTTTTCTAAAGATTTATTAATTTTTACTGGAAAGGCAGATTTACAGAGAGGGGAGACAGAAAGATTTTCCACACACTGGCTCACTCCCCAAGTGGCGCAACAGCTGGAGTGGAGCCAATCCAAAGCCAGGAGCCAGGAGCTTCTTCTGGGTCTCCTACGTGGGTGCAGGGTCCCAAGGTTTGGACCATCCTCAACTGCTCTCCCAGACCACAAGCAGGGAGCTGGATGCGAAGTGGAGCAGCCAGGACACGAACCGGCGCCCACATGGGATCCCAGCACATACAAGGTGAGCACTTTAGTCACTAGGCTCCCTTGCTGGCCCAAGACTGTAGCTGCTTTCAAAGTTGCTTCTGGCCACTGCTGTACTAAGAGCCTAACAGTTTAGTAGTGAGAATCACTCTTTTATTACAGTATGATCATTGTCCAAGTTCCTATAACCCTTTTCTTATTACTTCTAGTTAATTTTTTAACTTTTTTTTTTTAGATTTGAGTAAGGCGAACAAACCTCACAATTCACTGATACAGATCCCACTCCCCCTCCTCTCTCTCCAATCCTTTGCTCTAAATTTCAGATTGACCTACCCTCACCCCAGAGCATAGTCATAAGCTTCACCTTCCACCAGAATCCAACAGGCAGAAAAACCACTGTCCCCATGGCCCCTTTCTAGGAGAGACCGGGTTGCCTCATCACCAACCTCCCTCCCTACTTTTTCCCACTGTAAGTCAGAGCACACCCAGCCATCAAGCTTGCAATGAAAGTATCTAGAGTCTATTTTTTTTTTTTTAATAATCCCTGAATTGGTTTTACACTGTTTCTCCACAGATTTCGAAACTGTCATCCCACTTATATAGTGAGTCACCTGAAATGGAGATGGCTAAGAGTTGTTAGCTCAGTGGGTAGAGGATGTGTAGGTCATGACAGAATTGGGGCATAATGTGTGGAAATGGCTGTGGTGCTCTTTCCATAAATTCATACTCAATTTCCTCAGCCCTGTATTTTCCTGTGAGCAGTCCTTAAAGCATTGTGTGATTGCTTGGTCTCTTCTTCTCAGGAGGTTGCTCCCAAACCTGTGGTGATCTCTACCCCCACACCCACCATCGTACGTCCTGGCTCCCTGCCTCTCCATCTGGGCTATGATCCACTTCATCCAACCCTCCCCTCCCCAACCTCTGTCATCACTCAAGCTCCACCATCCAACAGGCAGATGGGGTAAGTAAAGAGATGAGGGGAGCCTGAATCTTTGCACTTTGTAAAAGTGTTCACTAAAACAGGGGCTGTTTGTGACTTCCCAAGGGCAACAAGTCCCTGAGTCTGTCTCTCAAAGGCAAGTTTGTTCTCTAAGAACAGAATCTCTTTGACTTTTTAAGTACATAAGCGAAGAGTGGCTGGAGGGTAATCTTTCCTTAATTTGGAGAGTTAATACTTCTTCAATCTAAGGAAAATCCTTAAGGCTCTAGGAATTTCCTCATAATGGTGGCAGTCACACAAGAAAAAAAAAGATTTCATTTGTGATCTTGCTCTGTTAGTTTATTGGGCACCACCAAATGAGGAGCTTTCTTCAAATCTAGTGTGCCCATTAGGCCATCAGGGTTCTTGATCTTTGCTGCCTTTGAATTCATTTGTTTGTCTGCAGTCCTGGGCTGACCCAGGCAGATTTCCTAATGGGATGACTTAAAATGTTCTTCCCTGTTACCTAAGGGTTAAGAAATTATCTTAAGGATTTGGCTTCTTAGAGGTTATTGACCCATGCACCTGCTAGGAAAAAAGAAAAGGAACAGCTTGAGGGCAGGGTAGAGCGAATCATGGAAGGTTAACAGAGGAGAATTTGGCCAGCGTATGTCATAATTCAGCTTACAGAATGACAACTTTGGCTCAACAGAACTTCTACATGGCAGTTACAGGGATGCTTGTTGAGTTGTTCTAAACCATTAGTAATCAGGATTCAATTCTACCATCTGAGTTTGCTTCATTTGCAAGCTATACAGATTTTGCCATTTCTTTCTCCATCTGCAAGGTAAATGAAGTTCCATTCTCTGCTTTTCCCATATTCAAGAGGGTGTCAAGCTTTTACAGTGCTGCCCTGTACTTTCCCTAACTAGACAAAACTGAAAAATCTGCAGTAATTACAGGAGCAACAACTATCGGCTAAAGGTCGGTCCAGTAAACATTTCGCTTGATGTGTTCTCTAGGTCTCCCACTGGTTCCCTCCCTCTCGTCATGCATCTTGCTAATGGACAAACCATGCCTGTGCTGCCAGGGCCTCCGGTACAGATGCCTTCTGTTATATCGGTGAGCTGTGTAGTTGGAGCAGCCAACCCTACCAACATGCTGATCCCTCCCTTCCACCTGAACAGTCATAAACACGCATGAGCCCCAGGGAAATGCAGGCCCTGGTCTGTAGTATTGAGCATGGCAGCCTGCCCAAGCTCTTCACTAACCTCCGCCAGTCCAGCACTATGGAACACTAGACAAAGGCTCATCTGGACATTTGGCTCCTCTCTAGGACCTGATTCTACCAGCCCACTGATTGGTTCATTGCACTTGGCATTATAGGTTACCTCCCAAATTGCCTACCACTCTCCTCAAGGTATAGCCCCAGCCCTTCTCATCCCAGCACTGAAGGATCAGGTTCCCTGCCCTGTGGTACTCCATGGGGGAAGGTATTTCCCAAGCTGTCCCTGCATGCCCTACAGGCGGGTTGCACAAAACAGGCCCTGACATGCCAAGTTCAAAAGCACTTCATTTTAGGAAAACTGTTGCCTCACTAATAGTATTATGTCTCCTCCTGGGTTTTCCAACCTTCTGTTGATCCAGCTGGCAAGACCTGTGTCCATGGTGCCCAACATTCCTGGTATCCCTGGCCCACCAGTTAATAGCAGTGGTTCCATTTCTCCTTCTGGCCACCCTATGCCATCAGAAGCAAAGATGGTAAGTATCTCCCAGCCCAGGGTAACATTGGGCTTTCTGAGAGAGGTGGTATTAGCTCAGTTGTTTTGAGTGAGCTGAGCAAAAGAACCTCTTGGGGCCACAAAGTCTAGAAAAGAAAAGGCCCCGATTCACGACTCCCATCTCTCTCCACCTTTCCATCCTGGCACATAGACCATGGCAGTGAAAAGAGGCAGCACAGATTGTTTGGAATGGAACACTTACAGTTTTTGTTCCAGGCTGACAGATGGAGGGTGGGTGAGTGGGCAAGGGAGCTGGCCAAGAGGTGAAGAGCTGCGTAACCGCCTCTGGCCCCAGGCCAGGAGAGAGCTGCCAGCCGGACGCCATAGCTTTAGCGGCCCCCACCCCACCACTGGGCCCAGGACAGCAGCCAGGAAACAGAGTCGACATTTTAGGGATCCAGGTGCTTGTTTCTTTCTCTCTCCCACTCCCCCATGCTCTGACATTTTCTTTTAATCCTTCTGTTAAGGGAAATTGGGATGGAAATTTACCTACCTGTAAGGTCAATAGTAAAATCTGAGCCCACCCTCCTCCTCAATAGAACCTCACGCTTTATTTTTCTTTCTTATCCTTTCCCGCAGAGACTGAAAGCCACCCTGACTCACCAAGTCTCCTCCATCAATGGTGGCTGTGGCATGGTGGTGAGTACCGCCAGCACCATGGTGACAGCCCGTCCAGAGCAGAGCCAGATCCTCATGCAGCATCCTGATGCCCCATCCCCTGCCCAACCACAGGTCAGTAGGGGCTTTGGATAGCTGGCCCGGCTGCATCACCAGCCCATGTTACTGTTTATGTCATATCTGTGTTTCATAGGGCAGAAAATCCGAGAATGAATTTGAGCTTCCCAGGCACTTCCTGTTCCTTTGGCTCTTGTTGACAGCTTGGCAACAGTAAAACATACATTCTTCATCTACCCTTGTGTCAAAATTACATGCAAACAGACTGAATAATGTAGAACCCTGGCGGGAGGAAGGAGAATGATCCGTTTTTTTTTTTTTCCATATGTGAATGATGGTTTAATATCTCTGCAGAATCCTCAAGAATGTGACAGAACTTGGCTTCAGGCCACATTGTGCATTCAAACAAGGAGGCTCCCTCGGTCTCTTTCCTGCCTATTAAATCTTACTCCTAAAAAACCTTACCTGATTAGACTTAAAACAAAAACCAGAACATAACTCTTTATTAACACAATGAAATATTATAGGATTAAGATGACTCCGTTTAAAAAAGTTTTTTTAAAAACAGGACTAGCATTGTGGTGTAGCAGGTAAAGCTACTGACAGCATTGACCAGCATCCCAAGTGGATGTCAGTCCATATCCAGCTACTCTACTTGAGATTCAACTCTCTGCTGATGGCCTGGGAAAAGCAGCAGAAAATGGCCCAAGTGCTTGAATCACTGCACCTATATAGGAAACCTGGGTGAAGGTCCTGGCTTCATCCCAGCCGGGGGTATGGCTTCCAGCTCCCCGGAGAGGAAGCAGCAAGCGGAATGTCTCTCCCTGTCTCCATAACTAACCTTCAAATAAGTAAATAAATCATTAAAGACAAAGCAACACATCTTCTCATTGCCAATTCAATACCTTTATATCACAGAGAAATTAGAAGTCTTTGAAAACCAGAGGGATCCCTTTTAGTTGTCCAGTTCTGTTCTCAAGAAGCTCTCAGTTTTAATAAGATTTTTTTGGAAATAGAATAGTCTTTAGTCTTCATACTGTCTGCCCTGGACAGGTGACAGAGGCCTGAGATTGGTTTCTGGAGTTGCCTCCTTTGCCCAGCTTCTCTTTTCCTCATGCCACCACCTGCTTCATCAGTTAGCTCCACATGTCCAAACATTTCATGGCCATATGCTACCTTAAAGCTTGGCCAACATCACAAGATTTCATTTGGGGTTTCTTGTTGGAAACTCAACCTACTCATTGTGTTGTAACCCCCTCCAAAGCTAGTTCCGGCACTGGAAAAGCCCCCGCCCACCGCCCAAGTTGAGTTGCTTTCCCTTTTGGGGGAAAAGTATGTGGCTTCTTCTCTAGCAACCACTCATTCCTTTCTTTCTCAGCCTTCCATGTATTTTATTTTATTTTTTTTACTGTCTTTCTCTGCATAACTGCCTATGAGAGACAGGAACGTAACCTTTCCTTTCTTTCATCTTCCTTCTCAAGCATTAGTGTTTACAAAAGAAGACAAAGAGATCGTTGAAAATCTCAAGAGAGGAATTATTGTCAATTTCTTGAAGAAAGTGTGTTCCCTTAGTAGTGAAAAGCAATGATCCAAAGCCACTTGTTCATTCAAAAGAGTTTGTGGTTTCCTCTCTTATTTATTTATTTTTTTTCTTTTAGGAGAGAAGATATAATAAAATCATTCTTTATTGTCTATATTAATGGAGGATATAATTCCATAGGGCCTGGAGTAGAGTATAATATTCGTGGGTTTTTTTTTTTAAATAAACTCATGCTTATTTTCATGAAACTGATGTGAGCTGTCATTTGAGAGACACTAACATAGATCTTCCTTAATAGATACAAAGCCAGAAAAGCATTTACTTTTGGCTTCGTTTTACATCATATGGTTTCTTTTTTGCAGACGGCTGACCTTCCTTTCCTGCATTTTGTTTCATTTTGGCTGCTCCTGTAAAATTGGTCTGCCTTTGCTGAGTGGGTACCAGCTGACAGAAAGGAAAGATGATCCAGAAGTGCATTAGGAACAAGGGACTGCGGCTTGAAGGTTAAACATGAAGGACAGTCCTCCATCACCAATCTGATTCACGTTTTTTTAAAATCTTTTTATAAACAAGCAAGAGATATTGAGGATAACTGATAACTGGTTATAAATTTTAAAAAGTATGCTAGTCCATATCTCCCTGCAGCAGCCCATGTCTCCCTGGTAGTGAAATAAATGAATGGCACATTGACAGAGAGAAGCATTGAGAGAGAGAAAGATCTTCCACCTGCTGCTTCACTCCCCAAATGGCTAGAGTGGTCAGAGCTGAGCCACTCTGAAACCAGGAGCTTCTAACAGGTCGGCCACACAGAGACAAGGGAGGCCCAGGAACTTGAGCCATCCTCCACTGCTTACTCAGGCTATAAGTAAGGAACTGGATGGAAAGTGGAGCAACCAGGACATGAACCAGCACCCATATGGGATGTCAACACCACAGGCATCCTGTTGTTAAGAAGCAGAAAGTGGACCCAGCATGGTAGCTTAGTGGCTAAAGTCCTTGCCTTGTACACACCTGGATCCCATATGGGAATTGGTTTATCTCCCAGCTGCTCCACTACCCATCCAGCTCCCTGCTTGTGGCCTGGGGAAACAGTCAAGGATGGCCCACAGCTGTGGACCCTGCACCCGTGTGGGAGACCCATAAGAAGCTCCTGACTTCAGATCAGTTCCACTATTGGCCATGGGCCACTTGGGGAGTGAATCAGCAGATGGAAGATATTTCTGTATCTCCTTCCCTCTGTGTATGTGCCTTTCCAAGCAAAACAAATCTATCTTGAAAGAAACAGAAAGCAATCCTAGAGGTTTTTTTTAAATGACATTTTTACTTGAAAGGAAGTTATAGTAAAATGAGGGGAGATAGGGAGAGAAGGGTCTTCTATCATCAGCTTCTTCCCTCCCCAAATGACCACAGTGGCCAAAGCTGGGCCAGTTGCAAAAGCCAGGAGCCTAGAACCACCTCCAAGTCTCTCAGATGGGTGCAGGGGCCCAAAGAGTTGGGCCGTCTTCTGCAGCTTTTCCAGCTATGTTAGCAGGAAGCTGGGTTGGAAGTGGAACAGCCAGGACTTGAACTGGCATCCTATATGGATGCCGGCACCACAGGTCGAGGGTCAAACCAATTCATTTTGTCTGACCCAGAATGGAACTGTGGTTTGCCCGAGTATGGGACTGGAAAGACCCAGGGAAACAGGGCAGCAGGAGGGACGGCTTCCAGGGAGAAGCCCAAGGACACGGTAAGAGGATAGCTGGCACATCCCTGTCGCAGATGCTACTCGGTCACCTGGTGCCAGGCTTGATTTGGAAATAATTCATGTTCCCATCAAATCACTCCTCTTCTTTTCTGGACACCAGGTCTCACCAGCCCAGCCCACTCCTAGTACTGGAGGCCGAAGGCGGCGCACAGTGGATGAAGACCCGGATGAGCGGCGACAGCGCTTTTTGGAACGCAACCGGGCTGCTGCGTCCCGCTGCCGCCAAAAGCGGAAGCTGTGGGTGTCATCCCTAGAAAAGAAGGCAGAGGAGCTGACTTCTCAGAACATTCAGCTGAGTGTAAGTGGGTCCTGGATGGTGGTTGGGATTGCTGAGTCTGGAAAGAAGGAAAAAATTGGACCAGTGCATCCAATGGAAGATAATAACTGGGTTACTGGAACAGACAGGGTTAAGCCACAGACAGTCTAGAAAGGATCTGAACTCTTAGAATTGAAATCACTTCCCTGAGGTTTGTGAAGGTGCCATGTACCCTCAAATTTGCTACAAGAATGAGTCATCCAGGGGTGACTTAGTACCCCAGGTGCTCTTAAATCATCAGTGGGATCAGTGGTCATAGACACTCAAAGGAAAGTGTGTGACCTCAGATAATGCACCTTCATGGAAGAAAGAAAAAAGGTTATCATGAGCACAAGTAGAACATTTTCTTTTAAGATATTTATTTATTTTTATTGGAAAGTCAGATATACAGAGAGGAGGAAAGACAGAGAGGAAGATCTTCCATTGGATGATTCATTCCCCAAGTAGCTGTGATGGCCAGACCTGAACCGATCCAAGCCCAGGAGCCAAGAGCTCCTTCCAGGTCTCCCACACGGGTGCAGGGTCATCCTCCACCGCTTTCCCAGGCCACAAGCAGGGAGCTGGATTAGAACCAGCACCCATATGGGATCCTGGCGTGTGCATGGCAAGGACTTTAGCACTAGGCTACTGCACCGAGCACCAAGTAGAACAGTTTTAAATCAAGCATTATTATTTTTCCTTCTTGTTGATTATTCATCAACACACTTAATTACAAAGATAACTAATAGATTTTAATTTTACATCCATATGTATGTAAATATGTGTACACACAGATGCCTTCCTGACATATTCATATTTCTAATTCTTTTTCTGTTTAACTTTTTGTGTAGAAGTCAGAGGAACTGTATATCTATTTTAACAGAAATTTGTCAGCAACATCTCTTTTTCTAAGATTTTTTTTTATTGGAAAGTCAAATTTACAGAGAGAAGCAGAGACAGAAAGATCATCCATCTGCTGATTCACTCCCTAAGTGGCTGCAATGGCTGGAGCTGAACTAATCCAAAGCCAAGAGCCAGGAGTTTCTTCCAGGTCTCCCACAGGGATGCAGTGTCCCAAGGCTTTCCCAGACCACAAGCAGGGAGCTGGATGGGAAGTGGAGCAGCTGGGATACAAACCAGTGCTCATTTGGGAACCTGGTACAATCAAGGGGAGAATTTTAGCCACTAGGCTACTGCGCCAGGCCCAGCATCTCTTTTTAAGATTTATTTATTTAAAAGGCAGAGTTATAGAGAGAGGCAAGCACGCACACACACACAAAACAGAGAGCAAGAGAGATCTTCCATTTGCTAGTTCACTCCCCAAATGACAACAGTGGACCTGGTCCGTCACAAATCCAGGAGCTTCATCTGTATCTCCCACATGGGTGGCAGGGACCCATACATTTGGGTCATCTGCTGCTGCTTTCTCAGGTGCATTAGCAGGGAGCCGGGTCAGAAGTGAAGCAGCCAGGACTGCCATGAGATACCAGTATCACCGGTGTCAGCTTAACGTGCAGCACCACAACACTAGGCCCTAACAATATCCTTAGTCATGGATAAGACTTTAGTGGCTGTGTGGTAGTTGTCCTGTAGGTAATTAGAAGGAATGGGGGTTAATATTATTCTGATTTTTTTTTTTTTTGCTAGAACAACAACGCCGCCATGAACATTGCACACACTTAGGTAGAACTATTAAACATATTCCTGAAAGTAGGCTTTCCTTACTCAAAGGCTATGTCTAATGTTACTTTGCATAAAATCATGTTTTTTGTTAATCTTATTTACTATGTTTTTAAAAATTTATCTATTTTTTAATTTGAAAGGCATATTTACAAAGAAGAGAGATAGAGAAGGTCTTCTATCCACTAATTTATTCCCCAAGTTGCCTCAACGGCCAGAGCTGAGGTGATCTAAAGCCAGGAGCAAATAGCCTCTTCCGGGTCTCCCACATGCGTGCAGGGTCCCAAGGCCTTGGGCCGTCCTCCACTGCTTTCCCAGGCCACAAACAGGGAGCTGGATGGGAAATGGGGCTGCCAGGACATGAACTGGCATCCATACCGTATGAGATCCTGGCTCATGCAAGGTAAGGACTTTAGTTACTAGGCTACCACACTGGGTCCTGCACCTGTGTCTTATTTCACTTCAGGAAAGACAGCCGAGGAAGCCTTCTGTCTCCACTCAGGACAGGCAGCAGGGATCTAACAATGGAGGATGAGTTTTCTTGATACTCTTTTCTAACGCCCTTCTCAGAATGAAGTCACGTTACTACGCAACGAGGTGGCTCAGTTGAAACAGCTACTGTTAGCTCATAAAGACTGCCCTGTCACTGCACTACAGAAGAAGACTCAAGGCTATTTAGGTGAGTGGCTTACAACCAAAGCCAAGTCAGGCAGCCATAATGTGCATGTACTGAGTGAGTGTCTTAATTGTGTGCAGTGTCATAACCCGTCCTGAATGTTCCGGAGACTCAGACTGATGCACGAATAGCCTTTAGGGAACAAAATCCACAAGAATTATCTGGATTCTGCATCATGGTTGAGGGTGAAGGCACTGAGCTGAGGAGAACGCAGGAAGAATCTCTCAAGTCTTTTCCCTGGGGTTAGATCTACCCACGGCCAAAATAAGTCAGCCACAGCCCCATGTGGATTAAGCACCATGGGGTGCTAGTCTAAGTCATCAGTGGGATGTGATTAATTGGGTACTTATTTTGTGTTAGGCACTCGACCATCCTCTCAGTTCTTTCATGAAATTGCTATCACTTCCTTTTATATATGAGAAAACTACACTCAGATCAGGTTCCTTGCCTGAAGTTTCAAGGATAGTAAAGTGGTACAGCCAAGATATATATTCAGTTGTTTTTTATTCTGAGACACTATGTAGGCCTAGAAAAGATTTAAATGGCAGCTTTTTACTTTTTTTTATTTACTTATTTAAGAGACAAAGCAGCAGTAGACTAAAAGCTCTTATCCACAAACTCACCCCTCATATGCCTGTAAGTAGTCAGGACTGGGCTAGCCCTGGGCTCAGAGCCAGAAACTCAATCCAGGTCTGCCATGCTGGTGGAAGGAATCCAGTTCCTGGAGCTATCACCGCCACTTCCCCAACCTGTATTAGCAGGAGCCAGAGACACGTGTTGAATTCACATTTCCACAGTGGGATGCAAGCACCTTAACCTAAGGCTAAATCCCTACCCCTGTTGGGGGTCCGTTTATCTTTTCTAATGACAGACTGATGTTGATTTCAGCTTGTAATCTATGAGTACAATAAAAGAATGCCAAAAAGAGATGGCCGCAGAGCTATGCTCAGGACAAGCTCTGCTCTGAAGTTAAAATTACTGTGAATAATTTGCTTATGGATAGTAAAAGCAAATAAATGCCAGTTTCCCTTTGCAAATTAAATAAATTCACAGAAATGTTGACTATCAAATTTTGTTATATTGAATTATTTTCCCACTAGCTGTCTTTATCATGTCATAGACATGTTCCCATAGAAAGTGTAACCACATGACCAGTTTTAAGCATCTCTATTTAAATTTTAATATGTACTTCAGGGTACATTCATTCATTAAGCAGATATTGATTGAGTGCCTGTTCTGTGCCAGGCACTATATTACATCCTGGCAAGCCAAATATATTAGATTAAACCCCTGCCCTTGAGGAGCTTATATTTTAGTAGGTGAGACAGACAATAAATAAGACAAATAGGTAAAATACGGTATGTTGGATAATAGTAACTGCTGGAAGAAAAAAAAAAATAAACCAGGGAAAGGTAATATGAAATGTTGGCAGAAGGACTGAAATTTTAGATGAGGTAGCATTTGAATAATAAAGACCTAAAGACGTGAACAAGCCAGCCCTGCATCTGTGTGGGCAGGAGGCACAGCAAACACAAAGACCAGTGCGGGAGTGCTCCCGGGACGCTCCACGCACAGGAGGCGGGGGCTGGCCACAAGGCCAGGAAAGGGGCAGGAGCACTTCTCACAGGGTCTCAGTCACAGAGCGGGCCTGGCTTTGACTCTGCACTCGGGGTGGACCTCAGGGGGTTCTCAGCGAAGTGAGCCCAACGATGTGACTTTGATTTAAACAGGATCACTCTGTTTGTGACAGCGGGGGCAAGAGGACAAGGGGAAGAGGCAGACAGCCCACTTTGGAGTCCATAGAAATAATACAAATAAGAGGTGATGGAGCCTTGGACCAGGATGGTGGCAGTGGATGTGGTAGCGAGGGGTTGCAGTCAGGATGTGTTTTGAAGTTAGACTGATGGGGGTGATGACAGTCCACCTTGCTTATGTGAGAGAGAGAGAGAGGGGAAAAAAAAAAACCTTTTTTTTTAAATGTATCAAAGTCTTCAGCTGGAGCAACCAAGAATGGTGTTGTCATTAGTTGAGGGAAAACCAAAGAGGAACTGGTTGGGGAGAAGCTTTCCTTAGGAATCATGTTAGACTGGCAGCTGCAGATACCAAGTAAGCATCTGTTCATCTGTCATGCACAGGTCAGAGGAAGGGCCAGGGCTGCAGTGCTGGAGGATTCATTTTTACATCTGTGGAACTGGACCAAGTCCCCAAGGGAGAGGGCATAGCTAGAAATAGAGAGGGTATCCCAGGACTGAGCATGCAACATATCCAGGCTAAAGAGAATCTACAGAGATGGGGAAGAAGCCAGGGAGGACAGAGGAAAACCAGCTGAGTGCCGTGGTCTGTCAGCCTAGGCAAAAAGGCACTTAAGTGACCAGCTGCTGCAGCTTCCATGGATAGACTGAAGCAGACAGGAGCTCAGTGGGCATGTAGTCCACACAGCAGTGTTGCGCTCAGTCCCTGCAGGGAAACTGACAAGCAGTCAGCCCATTAAACTACTTACTCATTACAACTGGTTGTAAGGAGGTGTTTAGTTTCTGCCAGCTGGTGTAGATCTTATGGTGGATGCTTACCACAGACAAGTAAGACATCGTGTCCAATTCTGAGAAAAGGAGCTGTGGCCAGGGAGCTCCTGGACTGGCAACTCCTTAAAAACAGGGCACCCATTTTATTTGCTGTAGACCCAAGAGCCTGGCCCCTGGATGGTGTTGAACACACGTCTGATGAATAAATGGGTCCATGCTCTGAAAGCATGGAGAGTGGGACAGGCAGTTTCCTGAGTGTAACAGGAAAGTTTGCAGAGGCAGCAGTATTTAAATCCTGAGAGAAGACCCAAGCATTCATCAGGAGATCAGAAATGGAATCCACTCTAAAGGTTTGCCATGACTCCACACATGACTATTTTGGCAACAATAGAAGTAACGAGAGGTTCAGTAACATGGCATGGAATTATCTTTGTGCACAGTCTAGATTTTTGTGTAGTGTCAAAATGCTATACTGCACTTTTGGTTTAGCAGAGATCATGGGAAAGGTTTTTGTTCTGAAGATTTTTATTTATTTTGATTGGAAAAGCAGATTAAAAGAGATAAAGAGAAACAGAGAAAGATCTTCCATCCCTGGCTCACTCCCCAAGTGGCCGCAACGACTGGAGCTGAGCCACTCTGAAACTAGCAGCCAGGAATTTCTTCTGGGTCTCCCTCCCATACGAGTAAAGGGGCCCAAGGCTTGCCATCCTCCATTGCTTTCCTAGGCCACTAGCAGGGAGCTAGATGGGAAGTGGAGCAGCCAGGACACCAGCCAGTGCCCATATGGGATCCCGGTGCTTGCGAGGGAAGGGCTAGCCAATTGAACTACTGTGGCAGGCCCCAGAATATGTTATCAGTCATGAATAACTGACCAGATGTCCGCCAGGAGGATCTTCTTTGTGGTATTACATATTAACCGAACTTTGGCCAAGGACTGGATGTTTAGAGCATCCTGTGATTGTAGCTTGAGCCTTATCGGGTTTGCCTGTGGAGTACAGCTGCCCCTGTGGAAATTAATCTGAGAAGATCACAAAAAGGAGACTCAATTTAAACTTATCTTTGAATATATGAATGAGAAAAAGTGGGTTCTCAGCAGGGGCAGTGAACCACATGCGCTGCCAAGCCTCCATCCTTCAGATGCAGAAGGCACCCTTGATGGGGAGGGATGGAGCTGACTGTAGCCTGGGTTTTGCTTCCCTTCTCCCTACTTCCCATTCTCTAACCCACAACTTAGAAGCCAGGGTTGATAGAACAGAGGAGTTTCTCAGGGGCTCCTTTAGAACAGGCAGGCCTGCCCCTTTGCCCACCATGCTCTCTAACCGTCTGCTCTCTGCTCTTTGCCTTCTTGCCCAGCAGAAAGCCCCAAAGAAAGCTCAGAGCCAACGGGGTCTCCAGCCCCTGTGATCCAGCACAGCTCAGCCACAGCCCCCAGCAACGGCCTCAGTGTCCGCTCCGCTGCCGAAGCCGTGGCCACCTCAGTCCTCACTCAGATGGCCAGCCAAAGGACAGAACTGAGCATGCCCATGCAGTCGCATGTGATCATGACCCCACAGTCCCAGTCTGCAGGCAGATGATGCCTCCCCTGGTGGAGAGGTCCTCGGCCAGAGCTTGCCCGCCCAAGAGCCAAGAGAGATGTCATCTTACCACCTCCCGTCTGCCTCTGACGTGGCCTTAAGGGGGGAAACGTTGTGTGTTGTGAGTATGGACAGAGGTGGGCTTTTCTCTTCCGCCGCATGGTCGTGTCTGTCTGACACCTGTACTGGGGCTTCCCAGCCCCAGAGCCACATAGCTCATCCCCCCAGCGTGAGGTTCCTGATGTACCCACAGCCAAAGGCCTTTCCAGATGGTATGGACAGTTGCCCGCCCCATGCACGTATACCTGTCTCTTTTAACACTAACCCTTACAGTTGTAGGTCGGGTGGTTTTCTCAGTTCCCTTGTCTCTAAGCCATGGCTGTTAGTTGTTCCTTCCCAGCGTGCCACTTCCTGCTAGTTGGAGGCCGAATCTAATGGCTCGCTGCCCACTGCCCAGCCCCAGCCTCCCCATGGACTCAGGACTTTGTCTCCCAGCAGCTGCTTATTTATCCTGTCTCCCCTTCCTGCATTCTGGCTAGAACATCTACCTGCAGAGAATGCAAGGTCACCTCTGATATATGAGGTAGCCATCTTTTCCAGCTCTTCCAGAAGCTTTATTCCTTCTCCCTGCCCACCACCAAAGAAAAAAGAAAAGAAAGAAAACCCAGGTTCTGGTTCCTTTTCATCTATTTCCAGAGCTGTCTGGGGTACCTCGTTTTGTCTCTTGACTTTACCAAGGCTAGTGACAGAGTCAAAAGACCACTAAGCCTTGGCAACCTCATCTTGTGGCCTTAAAAGATACTGCCTGGTGGCAAAAGCGGAAAGAGCCCAGAATCTGTCTGATCTCCTCTCCCCTTCACCTTCCTTCAGATGAAATCACAGGGACAGCCAGGGACAACAGAGCTCAAAGCTCCATTAGAGTCCCACACTCATTGATTCAAGGTCACCACCCAAAGCATGCATGCTGTCCTCATTGGTCATGTTTCAGCACCCACCTCTGCCTCCCTCCTTGCCTCGCGTACACCCCGCCTGCCTGCTCCTGCTGTAACTAAATGGGTCAGGTGCAGCCCTCTTGGAGGCTGTCACTTAGGGGACTTGCAGTCCCCAGTTCTTCCACCATCTTAGACTCACACATCTGCCTTCTTTTCTAAAGAGAAGTGCCAATTACCTCTGGGACTGCTGTCTTACTAGGTGCCTAGCCTGGCCACTGGCTCTTCCTGTTCCTGCACTGTCAGTCTCTTGCACTCAGTTCTGCTCTCTGACCCCTAAATGTAGTACTTCTCCAGGACTCAGCATGATAGCCAAGTCCTGAGTAAGTTTTCTTTCTTTTTCTTTTTTTTCCAGTGTTTTTTTATTTTTTTGAGAGGTAGAGTGACAGAGAGAAACAGAGATCTTCCATCTGCTGGCTTATTCTCCAGAAGGCTGCAATAGCCAGAGGTGGGCCAGGCCAAAGCCATAAGCCAAGAACAATCTTCAGGTCTCCCACATTGGTGCCAGGGGCCTAAGTATCTGGGCCTTCCTCCACTAGCCTCCCCAGACGCATGAGTAGGGAGCTGGATCAGAAGCAGAGCAGCCAAAGCTGCACAGAGCTCCGCAGAGGAGCCCAGGGCCCAGCCTGCCTTGGAAACTTATAACTGCCTCTCAGTCACTGTCACCTTGAAGAGTTGTGTCACAAAGAGAGAAGCTTATTGCTTCTTCCCTTCTTTCTCCTTCATAAGGACCACTGGCCTTCCCTGGGCTCTAAACTATGCAGTTTTTCCATGGCCATCAAAAGCAATCCAGCCAGAGGCCTGTGGCTAGATAGGTCAGCTTTAATAGCCTTCACCGTGAAATCCTTCCAGTTGTCCCAGAGCCACCTTCTGCCATCTGCCTGGGTCAAGAATGTTTTCTCCATCTCTCCTACCTCCGTCTCAAAGACCTGCCAGCTTCCTTTCTTACTACATCTTCCAGAATTGGCTGTAAGAGAATGAGAAAACATTCTAAGGGATGCACTTCCCATTTCCAAGTGAGAAATAGGTGACTGTGTTGGGTGACTTTGTTTCAGGTCGCCCTTCCTGCTTTTCAGAGCCAATGCAGAACAAGCTACCCACAGCTCATCCTCTGCCCACAGGGCCTCTACAAGAACAGCCCCCAAGGTCATCAGACTAGTAAATACGTGGCAGACGGTCACAGGCAGGTTGCCACCTGCAGGGTGTGCACTTGCCCATGAATACCCACAGCCAGGCCTGCGCTCAGGGCTTTTCCATCTGACGGCAGCTGCCTGGGATTTTATCCTACTTTAGTTTTGGCTTCCTTTGTTATTGTCTGGATTTCCCACCGGCAGCCTTGCCTAAAAGCTTGATTGAGTTTACGACTCCTAAGGAGCCTCTGAAGACCCTGGACTATTTCTCTATCCCCCATCAGTCAAGTGTTTTTAAAATTAAGAGTCAGTGGGTCAGAACATCTGCTAGTGTTAGATGGCAAACTTACAAGGAGGGTCTGTTTAGTCCCTCAGCTCCAAGGTCCACTTCTCTTGAGTCCTTGGTTCGTTTCCATCCATGGAAGGTAGTTTGGGCACCCAAGCAAGAGACACTGCCAGAACCATGGCAATGGAATGTGGGGCCCGGGGACAAGACCAGAGCCATGCAGCTCCCTCAGGGGGTCCCCTTCCCTCTCCCCTCCCCCAGGAAGGTAAACTGTTGCTCCCCCAAAGCTGCTCTCAGATCTTGTTACTGCTGCCAGCCCTGTAGCCACTCGCACCTCACCTTGGCCTTCTGTGGGCCTTCTGTGGGCCAGAATTGAATAGCCTGGAGCATGCACTGCTCCCAGGGGCCTATAGGAAGGAGCTGGGAGTGGGGACAGGATGGAGGCCCTCTCTCCACGCACTTCCAGAGACATGGCCGGGCACAAGGTGTCAGAGCCACGCCTTCTGGCTTGCGCTCTCCTTTTCCCTTAAAAGCTGGGTTAGAATTTTTTTTTTAAGCCTAGAGAGGCGCCTGTGCTGTCGGGAGGCACAGGGGGTATACGGCTATCTCCCCCTGTTGACTGTGCCCCCAGATCCAGATGCCAGTGCTCTGCCCCTCTGCTTGGCTGTGTAGTGTAGGTGTCAGGGACAGGAACTGGGCTCACCGCCCCTGGCCTGGCTGCTTGTTCCTGGCTCCCTTCTCCAGTCACTGCCCCCAGCACCGCCCGTTCTGTAGATGGAGTGCTGTGCCCAGCTGCACGTGCCGAACCCTCTCCCTCTCTGGTTTTGAGGCTCCTGCTTCCCCACCCCAACAGGCTCCTTCCAGGTGCTAGCCCTCCGAGACAGTGTGACCCACCAGAAATCTCGTCTCTCCGAACTTCCTGCCCATCCAGAAGTCATGGTCTCCCATTAATACTGTATGTTGTCTGGCAGGAAGGAAAGATACCATTTCTTCTGTTCTTTGACTTCATGAGCAATCTGCCTAGGCACCAGTCCTAGCTCCTCCACACAGGCCTATTTTGTGCTTTTTCTGCTTCTCTTAGGCAGAATCATGTCATGGCAGGAGCGGGACAGGTGAGGGTCCCAAGGCAGATGAGGGGACCCCACTGCACCGCAGCCTCCCACAGCCCTAAACATCCCTCTCATCATAATGAACTGAAGCCTCCATGTTTCTCCTTGCACGTGCATATGAAGGTAAATCCCCAACCCCACCGGGTGAGGAGCCTGCAGTCGCTGCAGACCCCATTGGCACCCTCTGCCCTGGGGACATGGTGTCTCTACGGTCAAGTCTTCCTCCAGGATTGAGGAAAGGCAGGGGAGAGCAGGGCAGGTAAGGCAGTCTCGGTCCACTACAGAAACAACAGCTTTGTCCTGTCGCTGCCAGGGCTCGTGTGGTTTCTGTAATGGGGCGGGAGGGAGGCCTCGCCAGCATCAGCTGCTGGCGGCCATGTGCTGGCCGGAGACAGCCATGAGCACCAGTCTGAATGTTTTTTACACTCCGAATCACTGTTGCCTGGGCATGTGCTGGAAACACACCTTCCCTGGCCCATCTCAGAACTATCGCCTCAGGAACTCCAGGCGTTTTGGCCAAGCACTCCAGATGAGTCCAATGCACACTAAAGCTGAAGAAGCAATGCCTTAAGGGCAAGCTGGGAATTCCTTAACAGGGTGTTAAAGACTTTTTAAGTACCATCTTCTGCCTTATCAATCAATCACAGAGTTTTCCACTTCATCCAGTCCCTTCCTCTGCTCCCATTCAGCCCTCCCCCCCCCCACATCACTCATCTCAGAAGTTAGGTTGGTCTTCCTCCTAGAACCTGCACCTGCATCTTTGCGGACGGAGGTGTCCTGTCTCACCCTGTAGACTGGTCACCGCACTTGCTCTGTCTCATTAAGGACCAGCCGGTGCATTAGCTGTCCCTTCCCACACACACACCTTCTGGGCAGGGAGGGGAGAGCCTCCAGCCTGAGGGCGGAGGTTGCACATCCCCATGTAGTGTCTGCTGAGAAGCAGCAGTGTGTATCTATGATTATATCTCTGTTCAGCTATATATTTTTGACATGTAGCAACACCTCTCCATCTCCCCAAGGAACTCACCCTGGTGCTGGCTCTGTACAGTCCAGGGTAGGCTTTGATGGGTGGGAGGCCACAGTGCTACAGGCTGTTTTGTTACAAACCGTCTCTGTCCTTCCCTGCCACCCCATCCAGCATGACCCCTGTGAGCAGGCTCTCACAATCTCCTGGGACGGGCTGAGGCAGGGGCTTTGCTCTTCATCCTGACTGTCCCACCCTCCCCCCCGCCATTTAGCAGTTACCCCCAGCCATGCCTTTCCTCCTCTCCTGACATATATTGTGCCTTATTTATGCTGCAAATATAACATTAAACTATCGAGAGAACTATTTAACGTCTGATGCTTCTCTGCTCCCATCCACAAGGCACGCCATCCACGGCTCTGGGAACTCAGGGATTTTCCATGTGTGATCTCCACTCCCTTGCTCTTACTTCTCATACTGGGAAGTCAGAGTCTAGGGAAGGAGAATTATTTCCTTAAAATACAGCAGAACGAAAGGCAAGGGACCAGACCCTGGGCAAGGAGTGCTCACAGAGAGTTTAACGTGGGATGTGTCTGAGAATGGGGGAGCAACTGAGGCCAGTGACCTATCAGTGCTTGTAATCCCTTCCCTCCCCCTGCTCAACACTTACAAGAAGTTTCCAGCATGACTGGGAAGGCACAGACAGAAGTGAACCCCTTGGTGGTAAGAGGCAGGAGGTGGGTCTGGAAGCAGAGGTGGGGTCTGTACAAGTTCCCAGGCAGAACATGTGCAGAGGATAAGGCCCAGGTGTTGGGAAGTCACTCCTGCATCCGTAGCTGTCTGAAAATAGGCCAGTGAACTACCTGACACAGAACAAGCCTGCACCCCCGTGCTTTCCCGGTGGGAGCGAGGAAGCTTAGCTAGCTGGTGGCAACTGGTCGTTAGGGAGAGAGAGAACTGCCCCCAGAAAGCGGGCAGGCCAGCGGTGGAAGGAAAGAAAGGAAGTTGCCACAAGAGCTGAAACCAAAACAGGGAGGTTGAGGCAATGTGAGTATAACTCAGAAAGCAAGCCAGTGCAAGTATGAGTTAGAATGGTTAGGCCTGGCCAACTTCTCAGCGTGGAACAGGCCTGTCTCCCCAGCCCAGCCCCTCTGTGAAGCAGCCTAGCTCAGGCCCGCTTGCCCATGATCATCTGAACCATGCTGGGCCTGAAGCAGCAGGGTTGCCAGCACCAAGTGTTTGCCCATTTGCTCACTCTGTGCCATGTGGAAGAGCAGACAGTCTGGGCGGGGGTCTGTGTTCACAGCCTCCTCTAGGGATGGGAGTGGTTGCTTTGGGTTTTGTGTTTAAGATTTTTTGTTTTGGAAGACAGATTTACAGAGAGGAGAAACCAAGAGAAAAATCTTCCTCTTGCTGGCTCACTCCATAAGTGGCTGCAACAGCTGGAGCTGAGCCAATTTGAAACCTGGAATCAGGAGCTTCTTCCAGGTCTCCCATGTGGCTGCAGGGTCCCAAAGTTTTGGGCCATCCTTGACTGCTTTCTCAAGCCACAATCACGAGCTAGATGGGAAGTGGAGCAGCCAAGATAAACCAATGCCCATATGGCATGCTGGCATGTGGAGGGGAAGGGCTTATAGCCAATAGGCTACCACACCAGGCCCAACTGCTTTGTTTTACTGGCTCCGAGGAACTGAGGTTGAGATAAGTCAGTCAAGTGCAACATACAGGATTAAAAACAGTTCTGTCTGACCCAGAACCACCCCTTGTTACCACAGGGATGCCCACGTGACGTGGAGGCCACTTCCCCCACCAACAAACTGTCACCCACAGACTTGATGCTTCCCTGAAAGCAGTAGCAGCCACAATACAGGATGACGTCTGTTGGGACTGGGACCAAACATGGGACAGAGCTTAGGAAAGGTGCAAGCTGCCTACAGCTGCACACTGTATGTGGACATCCAGATCAAAACCTACAGAGATCTCCACATCTAGTTGGTTCCTAGACGCTTTGCTTTAAAGGAGGGGAGGGGAGCAATAAACTCCATCTTCAGACTTGAGAAGGGCTTTTTTATATGTGAAAGAGATAAAAGACTTAACGGACCAAGAGTCCTGACAGAAGCCACGAGGATATGGAAGGTGCAGCTGCTGAAGACAGGCTCCAGAGCTGGTGAGTTCCCCAGACCTGGGCTGTGCAGCTGGCAGTCACTCAGCCCTGTCCAATGCCGAATGAGTTATGTCATCCCAGGAGACACTCACCCTGCAGAGTCATCCTCTGTAATGTCCCCATGTCTTGGGAGAGGAAACACTTAAATACAGAGACATGGAGAGCTGGTCTGTAGCTGGGTTGAAGGCTTTCTCTCCGTCGCAGTGCCCATCCGTTGTGGGCACCAGGGTTAGAAGGAAGCTGGGAAACTACTGTTCTTAACACAGGGTTGTCTTTATTTGATATTTAACTTAATGAGAGGCAGAGAGAAAGACACACACAGACCAAGGTGCCAACTACTGGTTCACTCCTCCAAATGCAAACAAAGCTGGCATGAGCCAGGCCAAAGCCAGAAGCCAGAGGCTCAACCCAGGCCTTCACATGGGTGGCAGGGATCCAAGGACTTCGGCCACCACCTGCTCCCTTCCAGAGTGCACGCTAGTAAGAAGCTGGAATTAGGAGTGAAACCAGGGATCAAACTCAGACCCCCTGATACAGGACTTGGGTGGGCATCTCCACTGCTCAGCCAAATGTTTACCCTGCAGTAAGTCACCTCCCTATTCCAAAATGCATGAGCCAGGGCCAGGGGAAGGCAGTAGTGACCGCAGGCAGGTGGGACAGGAGGGTGGTGCAGCCCTGTAGTGTCACATTTGTGCGTTGGGACTTTTCCACACTGCCTCACCAAAGAGCTCTAGCCCAGGAAAGAAACCAGACAGGTGCCTGGCAGTACAGAGCAATGGCCACAAGATGGCAGCAGCGCCGTAGCTGTGGAGGGTGGCTGCATGGCAGCGCCATGAGCACAGTGGGTCTGAAGTCACCCCTTACTCCCTCCTACAGGCAGATCTCAGGATGGGGACGCTGCTGTTTGAACCTTCCAAGCAGGGAGGGAAGAGGCCCTAGTGAGGCCCATTGCCCACCTGTCCCCTGGCCAACCCTGACCTGAATTCTGCTCTTGCCCCAGGTCGTAGCAACCAGCCCCTCCTTGCCTGTGCTTTCTGGTTCCAGTCAGGAAGAGAAGAGAGGTGATAAATTGACATTCTCCCACCTGTTGAGGGATTGGGGGTTCTTACGAGGCCCCCCAGGGCCTGGCTGTGACAGAGTGTCTGCAATTCATGATGTGTCTTGAGCTCTTGAGACAGGATTTATGCATCTAATAAAGTCTGCAACTCCAGGCTTAGGGGCTGGGGGTGGGAGCTGAGAGCAGGAAGTCCCTCCAGAGGCCCTGAGAGGGGTGTCCCAGGTGACTCTTAATGGAACCCTGCATTTCCATTCCCTGTCTACAGACAGCCCCTCAGGCTACTGCTGAGGGTGGGGGACAGGGGGACAGCAGGTATAAGAAGCGGTGGGATGAAGCCCTGCCGAGGCAGTGGGTGGCATGGATTCCAAGCGAGCAGCCATGGTCATGCTGCTGCTGCTGCTGCTGAGCGGCTGGGGCCACAGCGAAGGACCAAGGGACTGGGACGGAGACGAGCTCCTTGTGGTAAGCCGGCCCTGGCCCCATGTCACCATCCTCCCCAGCCTTGGCCGAGCCTTCTGCCCTAGCTTCAGACATACTCTGGCTACTTGGGGGGGTCTTTGCTGTGTCCTCACAGATAAGAAAACGGGTCCTCGGCTCCCTGTTTGTCACGCCTAGATGCTATCCCCTCCCCAGTCACTGGAGCCCTGGGTGGTTGTGCAGCTCACTCCCTTCCCACTCCGTACCCCTCTGCCCAGGAAGAAGACAGTGGGGCTCGGCCAGTGCAGGACGCCCAGAGCACCAGGTCACTCCTGCGCTCCCTGCTGGGGGCCATGGAGAGACAGGGCCGGAGCCCAGCCTTCCAGTTCCAGCCCCAGAGGTGAGCCTGAAAGGAAGGACCCACGCATGGCAGGGGCTGGGGGTGACGACAGGGACAGAGGAGATGGGAAGGGCAGGGCCTCACACCAGGGTGAATCTCTCCCGAGGTTTGGCAGAAACGCCGGGGGACCATGGAACAACCAACGGCTGCGTCCCCGGGGGGGCCAGGGGCCAGGTTCCCAGTTCTGGAGCCTGGCCACGCCCCAGCGCTTTGGGAAGAAATAACAAATGGGTCTTGCCACGAGGAGGTGTCCGCGTGTCGGGCTCACACACTAAGATGCCCTGTGTCCCCCACAATAAAACTGTCCAGCTGCCGAACCTGTGTGTGTGTGTGTGTGTGTGTGTGTGTGTGTGTGTGTGTGTGTGTGTGTGTGTGTGTGTGTGTGTGTGTGTGTGTGAGTGAGAGAGAGAGAGAAAGAGAATGCGCGTGCTTATATCTGACCTTCCATCTGCACGAGCCAGTCTCGCAGCTGGCAGGCTTCCCAGAGGCCAGCGTGCCAGGGAGAGTGAGCTGAGACTGTGTGGGGAAGGGGATGCAAACCAGAGCAGCTAAGACTGGGCCAGGGGACAAGCAGCACAGATGCCCTCTGGCATGCCCGCTGCACTGGAGCAGACACAGCAGGGCTCAGGACGCCAAGGAGCAGCACATTTATTCGGCCTCCAGCACAAGCCCAGCTTCTGGGCTTCGTTCCCGGCTGCAGCACAAGAGTGGGGTCCCAGCCCATGCCCCTAGCTTCGAGGCAGGCAGTCTGTGTCCGAGGTAGAGAGGGCGCCTCTCGAGGGGGCTGGACGTGGGCCGGGAACACGGGGGTGTGCATCCATGAGTCCAGCTAGGGCTCTACTTGCTGCCCGCCATGATCTTGAGGTACTGCAGAGCCCGGCGGGCGGCATCACCCCGGGCTGCCTCCCTGGTGGCTGCAGAGCCATGACACACGGTAGCTGGCTGGGTGGACAGCTCCACCAGGCACTGGCAGAGCCCGCTCAGGCTCAGCTCCTCTGGAGGCCAAGAGAGTAGGGACAGGAAGGAGGCGATGCTGGTCAGGGCAGGGTATGCCCAGGTCTCCAGCCTCCCGCCCCAGTTCCCCAGGATGGCTCGCCATACCGATATCCAGGTAGCTGACATGGAAGGCCTGCTCCTCCGACAGCTCACTGAGGATGCTGCAGCAGGTGGGGCCCAGGGCACCCAGCGAGCCCAGGGAGCAGCTGCGCAGGGACAGGATCTTGTCGCCCATGGAATTCCGCAGGGAATCCCAGGTGCAGCCGGGCCCACGGCTGCGAAGTCCGTCTAGGCGGGAGCCAGCGCCCTGGTAAGGTTGAGGTAGGGGAGGTTGAGGCAGGTGCAAGCCAAGGGTGAGGCGCCCAGTGTGCAGGAAGAGAGCTGGCTCCAGCTCACTCCTCGTACCAGCCTTCCTAACCCTGAAGAGCTGCAGGGTTTGGCTATGAGGTGTAGGGTCAGCAGCGGGCCACAGCCGGCCTGGGAGCCAGGGAGGCTGCTGGGTGTCGTGCCAGCTACTCACGAGGGAGAAATGGTCGTCATCGGGCTCTGCCTCATTGCCATCTCGCGCGTCCAGGGGCACGGTGTGCACGCGGAGCAGCATTTTGGCCGCTGCATTACGCTTGGCCAGTTTCTTGGAAGTGCCGCTGCCTGTGGAAGGGGAGGGTGCTCCTGCGTGTGGGCGCACAGAGCCCCCCTGTGCCCACACCCAGCCCACGCTGGCATTAAGGGTCTTTCCCTGGGGGGTGAGGTATCATTTAAAAAGAGAGCCAGGGCACCACAGAGTAAGGCTGGGGGGCTGTGGGAACCCCGTTACCAATTTCAATGAACCGCTCCACTCGGCAGGTCATGGTGAACTCCTTACGATGGGCAGGCCCAGACTCCTGGGTCACTGTATACTCAGGCAGCCGCCAGCCCTTCTGCACCACCAGCTCCTTTGCAGAGAGGCATGGGGGCCATGAGGCTAAGGCAGACAACTCCCCCAAAACAGCACCACCATCCCGCCACCCTGCCTCAGCAACAGGAAGGCTATAATCCCAGAAAAGGGAGCAGTGCAGGGCCCAGCCCCTCCCATACCCTCTCCCTGCTACACACATCACACCACCTCCCCTCATGGCCTTGCTTCCAGGGCAGATGAGGCTGGGCACACCTGCAGAGCCCCCACGGGGTTGCACTCTGACTGCTGGGGGGACACGGAGGGCTGCATCTCCATAGGAGAGCTCCTGAAGGAGAAAGGCACAGGGTAAGCCAGTGGTCCTTTCCCAGGTGCCCACAGGGCCAGCTCCCTGCTCCCCACCTGATGGCCCATCGGCCTCCACCTCTGCTTCCTTCCCTCCCTTCCCATCCACCTAAGGGAGGCCACCTCTGGGTCCCAGGGCCATCTCAGTTCAGACGGGGACACTGGGCAAGGGGCCAGCCACACACCTGATTGCCCAGGAGCACCATCTGGGCCTCACACCCCAGAGCCTCATGCAGTGGGGCCTGCAAACCTCTTGGGGCAGTGGAAAATCCCCCCAAGGGTTACATGAAGCTCCTCCACCCCCAGCTTGTCTGTATTCATAACTCTGACCAGCCTGGGGCCAGAGGCCAGGGGTCACCAGGACTCCTCCCTCCCCACCTTGGGGCATCAGAGAACTACCTGGTAAGGCCAGTGGATGGAACAGGAGCAGCCATGGCTGCTGCAGTAAGGACTGGGGTGTCCTCAGGCAGTGCGGAGTCTAGGGGAGAGAGAGAACTTCCCAAGGGGAAGGGGAGCCCTAGGGTCACACCCCTGTGTTGGGGGCACATGGGCCCTGCCCAACTGAGCCAGGCCTGGGAGGCTCGACCCGGCAGCTCTCCTTCCCAGGATCCATTGTTGCCCATCACTGGGTCAAAGAAGTGGAGACGGCTGGCACTCAGGAAAGTGGTTGCACAGGAGGATGTGCAGGCAGAGGCAGTGTGTCTGGGGCAGAGCTCCCCAACCCAGACCCAGGCTCCAGGTTAGAGCCACCACCCAGAGGGGCCAGCCGTTCTCCAGCCCCAAAAGCCCCCCATGCACGCACACACCCACCCGGATCAAGGCTGGCTGGGGTCATGGTCCCTGACAACAGGGCTCCTAGGAGAGCATGCCCACCCGTCCCTCACCTGCTGTCCTCCAGGGCCGGCTCCAGCATGCTCCCCCCTTTGAGGTGTTTGAGGGCCACCTCAGCTGCTCTGTGCTTGGCTGCCTTCTTGCTGGGGCCCTGACCTGGGGGGTTGGGGGTAGGATTCACTTGGAGGGATGAAAGGACCACCTAGCATCCCAAGAACACTCTGGGCAGCCTCAACCTCCCACCCACACCTGCTGGATGGAGTTAGCACCAGCACTAGGCCAGGCCAGGCGGCTGAGCCTACCCTGTAACCAGGAAAAGCCTGACTCTGTCCTCCTCACCCCCAGCAAAGCAGGTTCTTTCCCCTCAATAAAGACACCGATGGGGTCCCAGCCCCGTACTGCCCCCTCCTAAGGCGCTCAACAAACAGGCAGATACTAACCCACCACCGTGCCCGGAGTGAGCCCGTGTCTGTGGACCCAGGGATCCAGGCCCTTCCACAGCCTGGTCAGCAGCTGGGACTCTGTCCTGCCTGCTCTTCCACTGCCCCCGTGTCCGACCTGACACCCCAGCCACCCAGACTCCTGTTCTCCCCAGGGGGAAGTGGGGGACACAGTCCCTGCGCCTGCAGTACCCCAGCCTTCCTCACCAGTGCAGCTGGTGTCGCCAACGGTGACCCGAAAGGTGAAATTAGGCTGGTGGGCTTGGCCCTCGGCTTTGAGCAGGTCGTACACGGGCGTCTTCCCTATTCTGGTCCCATACTCCTGCAGCAGGCTGATGGGGGTCTTGCCCGGGTTGGCGGCCAGCATTTGCTCTATACTGAGGGCAGGGGTACAGACCCACATCACACCTCCCCTCTCTGCACCCACCTGGCCGTGCACCGCCAGACCAGACCTGGGCAGATGGTGGGGGCGGACACAGGGAGGGGTACGAGCCCGAGGGGCTGGGGGTGCACAGGATGAGTCTAGCATCCACTGGCTAGGTCCTTCGTGGTGAGGTGCAGGCTAGGAGAGCAGTGTCCACTACCCCGGGCAGGTGGGGGTGGCACGATGCAGCTTGGAAGTGCAGACCCCCGCACCGCCCGACACAAGGCAGGCCGGGAACCCAGTACCCACCCAATGCCCTGAAGGTGGGGGGCATGAAGCCCAGTGCTCCAGTGCAGCCTGGGAACAAGGCCAACGTCAAAACTACTTAGGGGTGGAAGCGGTGGCCACCACCCCCCGATGCATGCCGGGAAACCACTGCCCACTCCCCCGGTGCCTGTCGGGAAAAGCCTGCGGCCAGGTGCATGCTGGGGCCGCGCCGCTCCCCCGGCGCCGCGCTGCCCGCACACGGTCCGCCCCGCCGGCTTCCCCGGGGCGGCGGCTCACCTGGGCAGCCCGCAGCCCGCGACAGTGCCGGAGCCCTGCTCCTCCTCACTCATTCCCTCCTTCGTCCCCGCGGGCGCCACCGTGACTGCAGCCTCCACGCGCGCCCCAGGACGCCGGCCGACGCGCTAGGGCCTGGGCCAAGCCCGGAGTCGCGGCCGGCAGGGCCCGCCGCGGGGCACGCTGGGAGCCGCCATCCCCCGCCCACCCCGGGCCGAGCGTCGCCATCGGCCCACAAGCCTCCGCGCGGCCGGACGCCGCACCGCCTTGTGGGAGGGGCGGGCCTCGCGGATGGGGCGTGGCCTCCGCGTCCTGCCGAAGCCCGCTGGCCGCCTTGCCCGTACTGGCCGTGGGCATGCGTCCTGGCTGTGGTGAAGCCGTGAGCCAGTGTTCTGGCTGTGGGCATGCGTCCTGGCTGTGGTGAGGCCGTGAGCATGCGTCAAGCCGTGGACATGCGTCCTGGCCGTGGACAGGCGTCCTCGCTGTGGTGAGGCCGTGGACCAGTGTCCTAGCTGTGGGCATGCGTCAAGCCGTGGACGTGCGTCCTGGCCGTGGTGAGGCCGTGGACCAGTGTCCTGGCCGTGGACATGCGTCCTGGCCGGGTAGAAGCGGCTGCAGGCGGGGCGGGTAGTGAAGAAAAGCCTTTCCTATTCGAGAAAACTACAGAACCCAGAAGCTCGTGCGGCATCCTTGTGGCCGCTGGGGGAGGGGCGGGCTCTAGTGCGCACGGAAGTTCCCGTGCTGTGATTGGTTACTCCGGTTGCGGCCGCCTTCTCCGAGCGCACTGGGATTGGCTGGTGTGGGAAGGGCGGGGACAGCCGAGGGCGTCTTGGCCCGCCTCCTTCTGAGGGAGCGGTGCTGATTGGCCGGGCGGCGCGGCCCGTGCCTGTACGCGAGCGGGGCTGCTGCGCGCCCGGACCGCGGGCTGTGGCACGTGCGCCCGAGGCGGCGGCTCCGGCGTCCCCGTGCTCTCCCGTCGGTGTCGCCTCTCCGTTCACGCCGTTGAGAACGGTGCTAGCGATCCTCCCGCACCGAGAGAGCGGAGAAAGCACACACACACCTCCCCGGGGGCCTTGATCGGGCTAGAGTGGGACTCGGTTGGAACAGGGCCGGGGACGGCGACCGTCTGTCAAAAATAAAGGCTGAGCCGTCCCCCGGCCTGTGCGTGCACATCCCCTAGCTCCCCGCGCCCCGGTCTCAGTCACCCCGCTCGAAGGCGTCAGGGATCCCGTGCCTGTGCCAGGAGCGCTTCGAGCACAACGGCGGAGCTCGGAGCCGGGGGCAGGGGACCCCGGAACGCTGGGGAGATGGGGCGCCCGCAGCCCAAGCGCACTGCAATTGGGTGCGACTGAGGCGGCGACCGCGCGGCAGAGGACGGCGGGAGCAGGGTCCGAGCGCCGGGAACACCCGCCTGCAGCCGGGGAGGACTGTGTTCCGGCGCCGGGCCCGAGGTGGGACCCCGCGAACGAGAGGCAGAGGGCGGCGGGGAGCAGGGTCCGAGCGCCGGGAACCCCCGCCTTGCAGCCGGGGAGGACTGTGCTCCGGCGCCGGGCCCGAGGTGGGACCCCGCGAACGGGGGCAGCTGGGCGCCGTGCGCCCCCCGGGCGGCGCAGGGACGAGCCTGGAGCGCGCCCATGGCAGCGGGCTCCTTTAAGAGGCCGGCGGCTCCGGCGCAGCAGCCCCCGCTCAGGGCGTGTCCGTCCCGGGGGGCCAGGGGCGGGGGCCTCGGCAGGAGCGCGAGGTGGAGGCGAGCGGGCACGGGGCTCAGGGTCCGGGGAGGGCGGCGAGGGCACCGTGCGCTCGGCCGCCTCGCCAGCCTCGCCGTGACGGCGCCCCCGAGTCCGGTGGAGGGCAGCGGGGGGAGGAGGAGGGAAGGCGGAGAAGAAGGAGGAGGAGGCGGGAGCAGCATCCGGAGCGGGGCTGCAGCAGCGCCGCCTTTTGTGCTGCGGCCGAGGAGCCCCCGAGGTGAGAGCCTGGCCGAGTCGTTGGGGGGGCGTGAGGGGATGGGGGTGGGGAAGAGGACCGAGCAGGGTAGGGTGTGTGGGGGTAAGCCCGCGTCCGGGTTCGGGTCCCGGGATCGGGGCGCCGAGGGGAAGGTCGGGATGCAGATGCGGCGGAGGGAGGTGGCGCGGCGGATGCTGAGGCTGCTGGGGATGGAGACCTGGGAACCTGGACCCGACGCCTGTGGGGACCGGAGGGAGGGATGTCGCGCGGCCCAGCGGGGAGGCCCGTGGGCCTCCAGACCTGGAAAAGGAGGCTTGGGGTGGGGAGTGATGGTGGGGGAGGGAAGGAGGGCGCACAGACTTAAAGCGCTGAGGGCCGGAGAGCATCCTCCTCTCCTCCCACTTTGCCTCCGGGAGGGACGACGAGGAAGGACGAGGCCGGGGCATCCACTGCTTACCCCCGCCCCACCCCCACGGAGCGGCCTGGCCCTGCAGACGCGGCCCAGAGCACCTGTTCCTGGACGCCCCCTTCTCTTGCAGCTGCGATGCCCTAATCCCCTCCAGCTGTGGCATTCACCTCCTTCCAGGTGCTGGGTCCTCCCCTTCCCCCACTCCTGTGTGCCTTCTTCCCTTCCCTCGCCTCTAGCGCCCCTAACCCCTTTTCCCCAAGTCTGCTCCTGCAAGAGCCCCCGCCCTGTCCCACTCAGATTCTTCAAACTCACTAGTGGGGGCGGGGGGAAGTAGCCAGGATTCCTTCCCACAGAGATTGAAAGCCTCTGATAATCCTGACCTGGGCTGAGGGGCGCAGGACTAGGCATCAAGGTTCCGTAGGGTGGTGGTGGGGAGGGAATCGTTGATCCTCGGGATTAATGGTGGAACCCCACCTTTCAGCTCCCACTTTGTGCGGGAGCGTAGGGCAGCAGCCGTCAGGTTGGAGGGGAGTACACACTGGGGCACGCGTGTGTGCGCGCACACACACACACACACACACACTCCATCTGTGCTCAAGGCCAATTCCCTGAGCCTGAGGGGTCACAGCCAAGGCCAGCAGCAGGGACTCAGCTCTGCTGGCCTGACTCCCGTGAAGTTGCCCTGAGCCCGGGGTCCAGCTCCCCTTCTCCCGCGCTGCTCTCCCAGGCTGTCCCGAAGCTGGTCCCTGGCAAGAGGACGTCACCCCACCCCTAGCACTCCCAGAACCCATGGAACTAAGTGTCCCCCTTTCAGAAACCCACTTCAGGGTGGAGGAAAGGTTTGTCTTGGAGGTCACTCTGGGGTTTGTAGGCTTCAGCTTGGAACCCAGTGGCTAATCCCCCCCACACACCTTGTGCTCCCCCTGGTGTGAGAAGGGGCTGGGTTTACCAAGCGGAGTGCTGGCACCGAAAGCCTCCTCACCCTGCACCATCCTATCCACCTGAAAGAAGGGGTCACAGAAACCGCCCCCTTTTCCAGAACCCCTATTGGGGCAGCAGGGGGACCCGTCCAGGGAACCTGGGCAGAGGCTCCCAGCCCCATTCATCTGCCCTCAGAAGGACTGGGGCCCAGCTCCAAAGGTGTCGGTGCCTGCATGGTGCCCTTGCCCAGGGCTGCAGCTTCCGTGTCCTCCTTTCTCCCCTCCTGCCTCCCTCTCCACCTGTCCTCCCACTGCCCCAGCACTGAGGAATGAGCAGGGAAGAAGGGAGAGGGGCAACTGAGAGCCTCCTGCCTCCTGCTTTTCCTGATCACCGGGCAGGACAAGTCGGACGCTGTCATCCTCACCTCTGTAGATATGAGGAAACCAAAACTTTACTTGCTCAAGGTCAAAAAACTTAGCATGGGACAAGAACTAGGTTTTTTGTTTCATTTATTTATTCAGACTTGTTTATGTGAAAAAGCAAAGTTAAAAAGAAAGAAGGGGAATTACCCTCTGGTTCACTCCCCAAATGGCCGCAGCAGCATGTCCATAATTAGGAATCAAGAGCTTCGTCCAGGTCTCCCACAGGATGCAGAGTCCTCGGCTGCTTTGCCAGGCCATGAGCTGACGGGAGGTAAAGCAGCTGGGATTTGAACCAGCGCTCATATGGAATGGGACACCACAGATGGAGGATTAGGCTACTGAGCGACTGTACAAGCCCATAAGAGTTTGCAAGTGGGTCTGTCCGGGCTGCTTTCCCTACATAACAAGGCAGGGTTGACCACCATGCAACAAGGGACCACTGTCCTCCCGCAGCTGCTCAGGAGCCCAGAGTAGAACTCAGCCAGTCTGTGGGAGTCCCAGGACTGCATTCCCAGGGGACACCCCTACCAACTCCTCCCACCTTGTAGCACAGGGGCCCCAAGCTGGGATTGCTCCAGAAGACCCATTTTATCTTTGGAAATTAAAGATTCTTTTGGAATCTTAAGACATTTTAAATTGACATCTTCTTTTAAAAGCAAATAAAAATGAGTACCTAAATACTAGAAAATAGAATTGAAAGAAGACATTTGGGCCCACCATAGTATCCTAGCAGCTAAAGTCCTCGCCTTGAATGCACCAGCATCCCATATGGGTGCTGGTTCTAATCCCAGAAGCTGCTTGGGGAGTAAATCAGTGGACGGAAGATCTTCCTCTCTGTCTTTCCTCCTCTCTGTATATCTGGCTTTGCAATAAAAAAAAAAAAAAGTAAATAAATCTGTTTAAAAAAATCTAAAATACTCTTAATTTCACCTACCAAGATGTAATTAAATTTTGGTGTTTGTCTTTACAGCCTTTAAAGTTTTACTTATTTGTAATATACTTTTTATTTGAAAGGCCTAGAAAAAAATATATAAAGATTAGTATTTATTGGAAAGGCAGATTTACAAAGAGAAGGAGAAGCGGAGAAAGATCTTCTGTCTGCTGGTTCACTCCCCAAGCGGCTGCAATGGCCAGAAGCTTCCTCTGGATCTGCCATGAGGGTGTGAGGTCCCAAAGCTTTGGGCCATCCTCTTTTTCTACTGCTTTCCCAGGCCACAAGCTATATGGGAAGTAGAGTAGCTAGGACACAAACTGGCGCCCATACGGGATGCCAGTGTCACAGCGTGGATTAGCCTGCTACCCAAGAGATTTTTCATCAGCTGATTCACTCTCGAAATGGCGCCAGCTTGAACTGGGGTAGTCTGAAGTCTGGCGCCAAGAGCTTCTTCCCAGTCTCCAACGTGGGTGCAGGAGCCCGAGAACTTGGGCCATCCTTCAGGTGATTAGCAGGGAGCTGGATGGGAAGAGGGGCAGCTGGGAGTCCAGTGTGC